AAAAGTATAAAATTATAAAATCGGAACTTTGACAAATCGAAAATTTGAAGAAATGAAAAATAAAAAATTTTAAAACTCGAGAAATTTTAAAATGGAAAAGTATAAAATCCAAAAACTGGAGAAACAAAAAAAATGACAAATTGAAAAATCGCAAATGGAAAAATTGAAAAAAATCAAAATTCAAAAACAAAACTGTAAAATCGAATAAAATAAGTGAAAAAATTAAGAAAATCAAAAACCGAAACGAAAAACTGAAAAATTAGAAATTGAAATCTTGAGAAACTGAAATCGCAAAAATTGCAGAATCTAAACATTGGAACATCCAGAAGCTGGAAAATCGAAAAACTGAAAAATTTAAAAATGCAAAAGGTGGAAAACTGAAAATTTGAAAACTCGAGAAATTTTAAAATGGAAGAGTTGCAAAATCCAAAAACTGAAGAAACAAGAAAATGAATTGAAAAATCGCAAATGGGAAAATTGAAAAAGTCAAAATAGCGACTATTTTTATTCGAGTTTTTGTTGTCAGGTTGGCGACGTATTTAAAATTTTGGGGTGGCATACCTGATTGTCGAGTGACATTTATGACAGATGTCGTCGTCTGGACCAATCTACGTTGACAACTGGGGACTCAGAATTGCCAACACAAAAATTTGTCGAAGTTTATTTCTTTGAAAAATTATGTTTTTTTTTGCTATTTGATAACCTCTATATGTAAAGTAAAAACCACTGGCGTAAATGACATCGAAAAATTAAACATTAAAAAATCGAAAACTCTAAAATTTAGAAATGGAAAAATTGAAATATTGAAAAATTCAAAAATCCAGAAAATGAAAAATTTCCAGCACTGAAATAATGACAAATCGAAAATTTAAAAACCTAGATAGCGATTTATAATTACAAAATACAAAAAAAATGAGAAATCGAGAAATTGAAAATTCAAAAAAAGCGAAATTGAAAAGTCGAAAAACTGAAAAATCAAGGACTCGAAAAATTGAAAAATACGAAAACTGAAATGTTAAAAAATGGCTAAATCGAAAAACTGGAAAATCCAAAAATTTTAAAGTCGACACGCCGAAAAATCGAATAATTGAAAAATTGAAACATCGAGAAATTGAAATATGAAAAAATCGAAAAATCGAGAAATTAAAAATTCTAAAATTAAAAAAAAAGAACGAAATTGAAAAGGAAATTCGAAAAATCCATAAAACTGAAAGATTAAAATATTTACAAAGCGGGAAATCACATCAAACAATGGGAAAATCGAAAATGTAAAAGTTCAAAAATCGAAACAGCGAAATCTTTATAACTCCAGAAATCAAAAAATCGAAACATCGAAATCTTGGTAAGTCCAGAAATCGAAACATCAAAAAAATTTAAAAACTGACAAATCTAAAACCAAGAAGTCGAAAATTCAAAAGATCGAGAATTTCAAACATCATAAAATTGGAGAATTTTAAATAAAAAAATTCGAAAAATTAAAAAACAGAAAATTCGAAACAAATCCTAAAATTGAAAATTTGAAAAACAAAAAAATTTTACATTGTGAAATATTGATAAATCCAGAAATCGAAAAATCGAAGCATCGAAATCTTGATAAAACCAGAAATCGAAAAATTGAGTAGGTATTCGAAAAATTAAAAATTTTAAAAATCAAAAAATTGAAAAATCTAAAACTGAGAAGTCGGAAAATCAAAAGATGGAGAATTCGAAACAACTAAAGATTGAAAAATTTAAAATTAAAAAATTCGATAAACTGAAAAATGGAAACATCAAAAATTGAGAAATCCAAAAATCCAAAATTTAAAATATCGAAAAACTGAAAAATCGAGAAATTCAGAATCGGAAGTCGAAAATTTCAAAAATCGACAAAATTAAAAATCATGAAATCTTGAAAAACATTTTTAAAAATCAAAACTCGAAGAGTCGTAAAATTGAAGGAAAAAAAAATAAAAAATTCAAAAAGTATAAAATTATAAAATCGAAACTTTGACAAATCGAAAATTTGAAGAAATGAAAAATAAAAAATTTTAAAACTCGAGAAATTTTAAAATGGAAAAGTTGTAAAATCCAAAAATTGACGAAACAAAAAAATGACAAATTGAAAAATCGCAAATGGAAAAATTGAAAAAATCAAAATTCAAAAACAAAAAAATTGTAAAACCGAATAATTGAAAAAATAAAGAAAATCAAAAACCGAAACGAAAAACTAAAAATTTAAAAATGGAAAAGGTGAAAAACTGAAAATTTGAAAACTCGAGAAATTTTAAAATGGAAGAGTTGCAAAATCCAAAAACTGAAGAAACAAAAAAAAAATGAATTGAAAAGTCGCAAATGGGAAAATTGAAGAAGTCAAAATTGGAAAATCGGAACATTGAAAAATCGAATAATTGAAAAAATAAAGAAAATCCAAAACCGAAACGAAAATCTGCAAATTGTAAAATTGAAAAATCTAACAACTGAAAAAATTTACATTGAAGAAAAGAAAAATAACAAAATCACAACATTGAAAAACCAGAAAATTACGAAAAATTGCATATCGAATAAATGAAAAATTGGAAGTTGGAAAATCGAAAAACTGAATAATTTAAAAATAAAAAATTCAAAAATTGGCTGACAAATCTAAAACCAAGAAGTCGAAAATTCAAAAGATCGAGAATTTCAAACATCAAAAAATTGGATAATTTTAAATAAAAAAATTTGAAAATTTGAAAAACAGAAAATTCGAGACAAATCCAAAAATTGAAAATTTGAAAAACAAAAAAATTTAAATTGTGAAATATTGATAAATCCAGAAATCGAAAAATCGAAGCATCGACATCTTGATAAAACCAGAAATCGAAAAATTGAATAGGTAATCGAAAAATTAAAAATTTTAAAAATCAAAAAATTGAAAAATCAAAAACTGAGAAGTCGGAAAATCAAAAAATCGAGAATTCGAAACAACTGAAGATTGGAAAATTTAAAATTAAAAAATTCGAAAAACTGAAAAATGGAAACATCAAAAATTGAGAAATCCAAAAATCCAAAATTTAAAATATCGAAAAACTGAAAAATCGAGAAATTCAGAATCGAAAGTCGAAAATTTCAAAAATCGACCAAATTAAAAATCATGAAATCTTGAAAAACATTTTTAAAAATCAAAACTCGAAGAGTCGTAAAATTGAAGGAAAAAAAAATAAAAAATTCAAAAAGTATACGAGTAAAATTATAAAATCGAAATTTTGACAAATCGAAAATTTGAAGAAATGAAAAATAAAAAATTTTAAAACTCGAGAAATTTTAAAATGGAAAAGTTGTAAAATCCAAAAATTGAAGAAACAAAAAAATGACAAATTGAAAATCGCAAATGGAAAAACAAAAAATTGTAAAATCGAATAAATCAAAAAATGAAGAAAATCAAAAAGCAAAACGAAAATTTGCAAGTCGGAAAATAGAAAAATCCAAAAATTGAAAATCTTCACATTGAAAAACCGAAAAGTCGCATTCAAAAAATTGAAAACTACAAACTCAAATCGAAAAATTGCAGAATCCAAAAATTGGAATATCCAGAAGTTGTAAAATCGAAAAACTGAGAAATTTAACAGTGAAATCGACAAAATTAAAAATCATGAAATCTTGAAAAATATTTTAAAAAATCAAAACTCGAAGAGTCGTAAAATTGAAGAAAAGAAAATGAAAAATTGAAAAATTGCAATTGTAAAATAAAGAAACGAAAAATTGAAATTGAATAAATATAGAATTATAAAATTGGAACATTGAAAAATAAAAAATCTGAAGAAATGGAAAATTTGCAAAATCCAAAAATTGTGAAAATCAAAATGGACAAACAATAAATTGTGAAATCAATACATCGAAAAATCGAATAACTGAAAAAATATAGAAAATCAAAAACCGAAACGAAAAATTGCAAATTGGAAAATTGGAAAATCCAAAAAATGAAAAACCGTAAAATTGAAAACGAAACGAAAAATTGAAAAATTAAAAGTTTAAAACTCGAGAAACTACAATCGAAAAATGCAAAATCTAACAATTGAAACATCCAGAAGTTGAAAATCGATTTACTGACAATTTTTTTAATGAAAACTCGAAAAATTGAAAAAAAAAAAATAAAAATTGAAAAATTGCAATTGAAAAATCGAAAATTTGAAGAAATGAAAAAATAAAGAAAATCAAAAACTGAAGCGAAAAATTGCAAATCGGAAAATTGAAAAATCAGGACGTTAGAAAACCAAAAAATTGAAAACAAAGAAACGAAAAATTGCAGAATCAAAAAATGGAAAATCGAAAAACTGGAAAATTTAAAAATGAAAACTCGAAGTGTCATAAAGTCGAAGAAAAAAATACAAAATTCTAAAATCGGAACATTGAAAAATCAAAAATGTGAAGATATGAAAAATTAAAGAATCGAAAAGTTGAAAAATGAAAAATTTGAAGACTCGAAAAATTTTAAAATGGAGAAAAGTTACATAATCATACAAAATTGAAGAGACAAAAAAATTAAAAATTGAAAAACAAAAAACTGTTAAATCGAAACATTGAAAATAATTTAAAAAATAAAGAAAATCAAAAACGGGAAAAACGGAAAAATTTGTCTATTTTTTCAAAAAAGCGGTACTTGTTGGGCTGCACTATGAAATTTGAATGCATAAAATAACAATTTTAACACAAATAGAAGACTATAATAAACATTGTTTATAGTAAGTACTCGTCAGCGTCAGTACATCAAAGCTACTTCGTTAACCGTTGGGGATTTCCCCCTTTAAGTTTAATTACCCTATAGTTTCCACCATTGCCCATTAAATTTTCGAACAATTCAGCAATAACATGCCATTGACGTGTATTCCACGAAGACCTGTGTTCTTTTCTCTTTGTGACACACACACAGAAGATAAAATTTTTGTTGAGTCACACCAATTCACAACTTCACTTTTCCAAGACCAAGGTCTAGGTCAAACCTTTTCCTCTTCAAATCATTTATCAGACTTTCTTGTCCTTTCCAGACGGGTCACGGGGCGGAGATCGCCATCCACATTCCAGGAAACCTGGGCCAAGAAGGGGCCATATACCGCCTGGACTACTACCCCCCCTTCGGCCACCCGGCCCCCAACACAACCATAGCTTCCAAGGACATCCGCGACGTGATAAAATTCTCTCAAGTACTCCCCGGGACCAAGTACGACTTCTGGCTCTACTACACAAACTCAACACATAATACTCTCACGTGGACTGCCAACTTCACCACCGGTTGTACCCCCAAACGCTCCAAGCCACCACTAACTAGTTCTTTGCAGTGCCCGATCCACCCTCGAACCTCTCCATCAACATCCGCAGCGGAAAGTCCGCCATCGTCTCCTGGAACCCCCCGGCCCGAGGGGGCTACTCCAACTTCAAGCTAAAAATCAACTCGCTCAACAACGTGCCAGAGGCCAAACCGCAAATCCTCACAATCGACAACATAGAGAATACCTCCTACTTACTCAAAGAACTGACACCCGGAGCTACGTACCAAGTCCAAGCGTCCACCGTCTTCGAAAACAAGGAGAGTGCGGCGTATACATCGAGGAACTTTACTACAAGTACGTGGTGGTACGATTCGTAGAGTACCTATAACCTTACTTTTGTAGAACCCAATACCCCAGGGAAATTTATCGTTTGGTTCCGCAATGAAACCACGCTCCTTGTGCTGTGGCAGCCCCCTTACCCTGCCGCTATCTACACACACTACAAGGTCTCGATTGACCCCCCGGACGCCAACGATAGCATCCTCTACGTCGAAAAAGAGGGTGAGCCGCCAGGGCCGGCCCAAGCCGCTTTTAAGGGGTTGGTACCCGGGCGGGCCTACAACATCTCGGTTCAAACTATGTCAGAGGATGAAATTTCGGCCCCCACGACGGCGCAGTACAGGACCGTACCGCTCAAACCGGCCAAAATCACCTTCAATTCGCACTTGATCACGCCCTATTCGTTCGTGGTGAACTGGGAGGAGCCTAACGGGAAAAGGTGAGTGGGGCGGGGCTTATCACGTTACAGTGTCATTAATGTCGATATTTGAATGATTGTAGAATTCGCACCGCGAAAATTCATAGGGTTATAAGGTAAAGGGGTTTTGTGTGTGTTTGTACTGTGTGGCTTTATTTTGCGATTTTGTGGAGTGCGACTTATTATCCATTCACGATCTTTATATAGTAAAGTAGGCTTTGATATTTTTTCTTTAAGTTGGATAAACTGATTTGATGATTTAGTTTTTTGTCTGTCAGTAGTCTGATTGACATTTGCTTGACAGAGGTTTTACATAAAAAAAAAACTATTGGCGCCCCCGAGAAGGTTTTATATTAAAAAAATAAAAGACAGTTGTGACCCCCGAGAAGGTCTCACATTATTAAAAGAAAAATTGCCCTCCCCCCTTCTTTGATTTTTAAGTTTCTCAGTTTTTAATCTTTGGATTTTTCAATTTTTCGTTACTTCAATTTTTCAAGTTCCTGACTTCCAATTTATACGTTTTTCAAAAATTTCACTTTATACATTTTCGTGATTTCTGGTTTGGTTTTTCAATTTTTGCAGTTTTTTTATCGAAAAACTGAACAATCGAAAAACTCACAAAATGAAAAATTGCAAGATCGAAGAACTGAAGAACGAAAAATTGACAAAACGAAAATTTAAATCGAAAAATCGCAAAATCTAATCACTGAAGAAATAAAAAAGGTGAAAAATTGCTAATCGAAAAATTGAAAACCCAAAAATTGTTGTATCAAAAAATTATAGAATCGTCAGAATTGTAAATTAAAAAAACTATTACATTCAAGGAACAAAGGTCGAAAAATTAAAAACGGAAAATTTCAAAAGGGAAAATAGCAAAATTGAAACTCGGAAAATCCAAAAATCCAAAAATTGAAAAAGTTCACATTGAAAAAAAGAAAAATAATAAAATTAGAACATTAAAAAATCGAAAAATTAAAAGTTGAAAACTCTTTGAAACTCAAATCGAAGAACTGCAGAATCTAAAAATTGAGACATCCAGGAGTAGGAAAATCGAAAAACTGAAAAATTTTAAAATAAAAACTCGAAGAGTCGTAAAATTGAAGAAAAAAAAATGAAAAATTGAAAAATTAAAAAATTGTAAAATAAATGAAAGATTAAAGAATCAGAAAGGTGAAAAATAAAAAATTTGAAACCTCGAGAAATTTTAAAATGGAAAATTTGCAAAATCCAAAAATTGAAGAAACAAAAAAATGAAGAACTGAATAATTGCAGATGAAAAAATTGGAGAAATCAAAATTGAAAAACAAAAAATTGTGAAATCGAAACATCGAAAAATCAAAAATAAAGAAAATTAAAAATCGAAACGAAAATTTGCAATTAAACCATTCAGAAACAATAGAAAAAAAATTGGTAGAAGGAAGAGATATTCTTTATTAGGTTTTTCAAATTTTCAATATTTGATTTTTTTGGATTTCGCAATTATCCGATTTTCCGATTTCTGTAATTTATAATATTTCGATTTTACAAAATTTCGATTTTGCACTTTGATTTTTAAGTTTCTCAGTTTTTAATCTTTGGATTTTTCAATTTTTCGTTTCTTCAATTTTTCAAGTTCCTGACTTCCAATTTATACGTTTTTCAAAAATTTCACTTTATACATTTTCGTGATTTCTGGTTTGGTTTTTCAATTTTTCCAGTTTTTTTTTATCGAGAAATTGAACAATCGAAAAACTGACAAAATAAAAAATTGCAAGATCGAAAAACTAGAAATTTAAAAAATTGCAAATCGAAGCACTGAAGAACGAAAAATTGACGAAACGAAAATTTAAATCGAAAAATCGCAAAATCTGATCACTGAAGAAATAAAAAAGGTGAAAAATCCCAAATCGAAAAATTGAAGAAACAAAAGATTATAAAATCGAAAGATCGAGCAATCGAGTAATTGAAAAAACCGAAATGAAAAATTTCACATTGAAAAAACAAAAATAACAAAGTTAAAATATTGAAAAACCGAAAAATTTAAAACAAAATGAATTGGAAAATCAAAATCTACAAATTAAAAGTTGAAAAGTCCAGAAACTCGAATCGAAAAATTCCAGAATCCAAAAATTGAAACATCCAGAAGTTGGAAAATCGAAAAACTGAAAAATTTAAAAATGAGAACTCGAAGAGACGTAAAATTGAAGAAAAAAATTAAAAATTGCAAATCGACGAACTGAAGAAACGAAAAATTGAAACATTGAATATCTAAAAATTGAAAAAAATGTATCCAAAAATTGGAACTAAGAAAAATCGAATGGAATCGAAAAATTGAAAACCCAAAAATTGTTGTACCAAAAAATTATAGAATCGTCAGAATTGTAAATTAGAAAAACTATTACATTCAAGGAACAAAAGATCGAAAAATTAAAAATGGAAACATTCAAAAGGGAAAACTAGAAAAATTGAAAATCGGAAAATCCAAAAATCCAAAAATTGAAAAAGTTCACATTGAAAAAAAGAAAAATAATAAAATTAGAACATAAAAAATCGAAAAATTAAAAGTTGAAAACTCGAGAAACTCAAATCGAAAAACTGAAAAATTTTAAAATGAAAACTCGAAGAGTCGTAAAATTGAAGAAAAAAAATGAAAAATTGAAAAATTAAAAAATTGTGAAAATAAATTAAAGATTATACAATCAGAAATGTGAAAAATAAAAAATTTGAAAACTCGAGAAATTTTAAAATGGAAAATTTTTTCAAAATCCAAAAATTGAAGAAACAAAAAAATGAAGAACTGAAAAATTGCAGATGAAAAAATTGGAGAAATCGAAATTGAAAAACAAAAAATTGTAAAATCGAAACATCGAAAAATCAAAAATAAAGAAAATTAAAAATCGAAACGAAAATTTGCAATTAAACCCTTCAGAAACAAAAGAAAAAAAATTGTTAGAAGAGACATTCTTTATTCGATTTTTCAAATTTTCAATATTTGATTTTTTTGGATTTCTCAATTATCCGATTTTCCGATTTCTGTAATTTATAATATTTCGGTTTTACAAAATTTCGATTTTGCACTTGTTTGATTTTTAAGTTTCTCAGTTTTTAACCTTTGGATTTTTCAGTTTTTCGTTTGTTCAATTTTTCAAGTTCCTGACTTCCAATTTATACGTTTCTCAAAAATTTCACTTTATACATTTTCGTGATTCTGGTTTGGTTTTTCAATTTTTGCAGTTTTTTTTTATCGAAAAACTGAACAATCGAAAAACGACAAAATGAAAAATTGCAAGATCGAAAAACTAGAAAATTAAAAAATCGCAAATCGAAAAATTGAAGAAACGAAAGATTATAAAATCGAAAGATGGAACAATCGAGTAATTGAAAAAACCGAAATGAAAAATTTCACGTTGAAAAAACAAAAATAACAAAGTGAGAGCATTGAAAAACCTAAAAATTTAAAACAAAAGGAATTGGATAATCAAAATCTACAAATTAAAAGTTGAAAAGTCCAGAAACTCGAATCGAAAAATTCCAGGATCCAAAAATTGAAACATCCAGGAGTTGGAAAATCGAAAAACTGAAAAATTTAAAAATGAGAACTCGTAGACGTAAAATTGAAGAAAAAAAATTAAAAATTGCAAATCGACGAACTGAAGAAACGAAAAATTGAAACATTGAATATCTACAAATTGAAAAAAATGAATCCAAAAATTGGACACAAGAAAAATCGAATGGAATCGAAAAATTGAAAACCCAAAAATTGTTGTACCAAAAAATTATAGAATCGTCAGAATTGTGAATTAGAAAAACTATTACATTCAAGGAAAGATCGTAAAATTAAAAATGGAAAAATTCAAAAGGGAAACTAGAAAAATTGAAAATCGGAAAATCCAAAAATCCAAAAATTGAAAAAAAGAAAAATAAAATTAGAACATTAAAAAAATCGAAAAATTAAAAGTTGAAAACTCGAGAAACTCAAATCGAAAAACTGCAGAATCTAAAAATTGAAACATCCAGAAGAAGGAAAATCGAAAAACTGAAAAATTTTAAGATGAAAATTCGAAGAGTCGTAAAATTGAAGAAAAAAAAAATGAAAAATTGAAAAATAAAAAAATTGTAAAAATAAATGAAAGATTAAAGAATCAGAAAGATGAAAAATAAAAAATTTGAAAACTCGAGAAATTTTAAAATGGAAAATTTGCAAAATCCAAAAATTGAAGAAACAAAAAAATGAAGAACTGAAAAATTGCAGATGAAAAAATTGGAGCAATCAAAATTGAAAAACAAAAAATTGTGAAATCGAAACATCGAAAAATCAAAAATAACGAAAATCAAAAATTGAAACGAAAATTTGCAATTTGGAAAATTAACAAAAAAGGACATTTGGCACCCCCGAAAAGGTTTTACATTAAAAAAAAAACATTTGGGGCCCCCGAGAAGGTTTCACATTACTAAAAGTAAAAACATTTGGCGTCCCCGAGAAGGTTTTACATTAAAAAAAAAAACAGTTGGAACCCTCGAGAAGGTTTCACATTATTAAAAAAACCTATTTGGGGCCCTCGAGAATATTGCACATTATTAAAAATAAAAACATTTGGCGCCCCCGAGAAGGTTTTACATTAAAAAAAAAAACAGTTGGAACCCTCGAGAAGGTTTCACATTATTAAAAAAAAACATTTGGCGCCCCCGAGAAGGTTTTACATTTTTAAAAAAGACAATTGGGACCCCCGAGAAGGTTTTACATTAAAAAAAAAAAACATTTGGCGCCCCCGAGATTTTACATTTTTAAAAAAAGACAGTTGGGACCCTCGATAGGGTTTCACGTTAATAAAAAAAAAAGATTTGGCACCCCCGAGAAGGTTTTACATTTTAAAAAAAAGGCAATTGGGACTCCCGAGAAGGTTTCACATTATTAAAAAAAAAACATTTGGGGCCCCCGAGAAGGTTTCATATTATTAAAAGAAAACTATTGGCGCCCCCGAGAAGGTTTTACATTAAAAAAAAAACATTTGGCACCCCCGAGAAGGTTTTACATTAAAAAAAATTTGATTGAGAATTAAAGATGAGATGCTAAATGTGGCATGCAACAATAGACGTATGCTGAACCCCCATTCATATAAAAACAAAATTTAAGTGAAATTTAAGTGTTTGTTCCTTACATATGAAATAAACACTGACAAAAAGCCGAATAACTGTTTTAAATAGCTAAAGTTTTATGCTTTCTAAGAAATGAATACCATTAACTTGGTCATTGCTACTGAAAACTGAAAGTAACAACAAACTCACTAGATTATCATGGCCAACCCTACTATATAAAGACCGGGAACGAGTATATGTACTTAATTCGTGGTTTTTAGCGAATTTGACAAATACCACGTGTTCCTGGGTCCGGCTAAGAGCAAGCAACAAATCACGAAACTACGTGAAGAACCGACGTTTGTGGAGTTCCGGGATAACCTAGAGCCCGGGAAGACTTACACAGTTACCGTGAAGACCGTATCGGGGAAAGTGTCGTCGTGGCCGACGGCAGCCGATGTCACTTTAAGTAAGTCAAATCAAGTCAAAGTCACCCAATTTGACTTAAAAACTTGTAGAACCTCTCCCCGTCTCTAATTTACGTTCACACACTGACGACAAAAACGGAATCGTCAACATATCGTGGACTCCGAATCCTAACAGTTACCAAGACAACTACATGGTGTCGTACCATGAGGTGGAAAGTTCGACCGGGGATAGCAACAACGTCAAGACCAACAACCAGACTGAACTAACCCTTGATACGCTTCTCCCGGGTCGCAACTACTCCATCATAGTACAAGCTTTATCCAAAGACATGGAGTCCAACGAGAGTTATCTGTACGTGGTGACGCAACCGAGCGCCCCTATTATCGAGGACCTGCGACCTATAGTGGACGGACTTAACATCAGTTGGAAGAGCGACGTCAACTCGCGCCAGGACAAGTACGAGCTGCACTGCGTCCGGAATGACACGAACGAGGGTCTAGTACGAACCACCTACGACTCGCGCATAGTCCTCACGAGTTTGTACCCCGGCGCGGGGTACTTAGTCAAGGTTTTCGCGATTTCGCACGGTTTGAAGAGCGAGCCGCACGAGTACTTCCAACCAGTGTGTAAGTACATTTAGGCTGAGTCGGCGAAATTTGACTGCGCTGATCGTGCGTTTTTGTAGTTCCGCGGCCGCCGAAGAACATGACGATCGAGAAAACGAGCCCGAATTCAGTGTTGGTTCAATGGGAGGCCCCTACAGACTCTTTGATCTCGGAATATGCTATTCGGTACCGCACTGATAGTAACCGGAACTGGGTGCGGCTGCCTGCAGTCCAGAATACTGAGGCTGAAGTGACTGATATGACCCCTGGGGAGCGCTACACCATCCAGGTCAATACCGTGAGTTATGGTCTGGAAAGTAGTGAACCCCAGCAGATGAATCACACGGTGCGGCCTAATCCAGTTTCGAACATCGCGCCTCTGGTGGACTCGAACAACGTCACTCTCGAGTGGCCACGGCCTGAAGGCAGGGTCGAAACGTACGTAGTCAGGTGGCGGCAATCGTCGAACTCGTCGCAAGACATCAACACTAAGAACGTGAGTCAGAGTGAGAACGGCACGGGATTGGTGCGTCTACTGATCAACGATTTGATGCCTGGGGAGGAGTATACGTTTGATATACAGGCGATTTCCAATGGTTTAGAGAGTGAGGTCACTGTATTAAGAACACGGACGAGTAAGTAGTGGCTTTGGGTGACTATAGGTGTTGTAGGGTGGTTTTCAGTGCCTTTAATCCAGTCCGAAGTGGTCGTGGTCACCAATCAACAAAAAACCGACACTTTGAGCCTACGCTACACCCCGACACCTCGCGCGTCGTCAAAGTTCGACTTCTACCGATTCTCGTTGTCGGAACGGGACATCCCCGACCAAGAAAAAACCGAGAACGATACAGACCGATTTGTCACGTTCACGGGTTTGGTGCCTGGGCGACTTTACAACATTACTGTGTGGACGGTGTCGCAAAATGTGGCCAGTCAACCGCTGCAGCGCCAGGATCGACTATGTAAGTAACGCGCTAAGTGTGCAGCCCCTCCTGATTCTTCAATATCCAGGTAGATTATTTGATGACTTACGTAAAGAATTAATAACATCATTAGATGTAGTGTAATACTAAGAATAAAATTATTGTATTCCCAAATTTTCGGGAAAATGAATTGGGTCGTTTTGAATATTGATTTGTTATAATCAATAAAATAACGAAACAATTTACTCACGTATACGGCGCCGGCGTGTAATATGAGAGGCAACTGAAAATCGTTTATGTATAAACATTCTTAATTTAAGATGACAAGCGTAACAGCATACGTGAGAGTCAAACAGAGAAACTGTAAACAAAACGACCATCGGTTTTATTGCTTCGACTTCCGCTTATTATATAAAACATTGGGTTTTATTTTAATTTTTGACGGTGGAATTCACAATTGGTTGATTATAAACATGTCTATACCACATTCGCGGAACCTAGTCGGCGCACAAAACAAATGCACGTCTGTAATGTTAAAGTAGATGTAAATAAGCATGATACATTTATGTTTCAACCGAGTTTTTACTTTAAAAAATTTTGTGTCTACCAAATTGGGTTGGTCCAATGTAATACTGATAATAAGTGTTGCCTTTAATTTAATTAATAAAATAAATTGACTTCATTAATTTTTTTGAGCCACCTCTTAAGAAAATCTAAAAAATATTAATGGAATGATAAATCACAAGTCATCATCTTTTTTGCATTTTAGATGGGATTTATTCAGCAAAATTTAAGGGTGACGTCATCAATTTTTTTAGGAGGGATGAACGAAAACATTTTGAACAAAAGTTTACCATGCTTTCTAATAACTTTAAAATATCTCCAAGATTTCAAAGCATTTGGTTTTGTAATTCCTGATTAAATCGATAAAATAAATTCACGCATTCATTAATTTTTTTGAGTCACCCTACATATGCAAATCCAAAAATATGATTGGAATGATAAATCACAAGTACAGACTCATCATATTTTGTACATTTTAGATAGGATTTATTCAGCAAAATTTTGGAGTGACGTCATCAATTTTTTAGGGGGGAAGAGCAAATACATGCAGATTTCGGTGTTTCTATTTTTCGGATTTTCATTGTTCGAATTTTGATTCATCGAATTTTCAGTTTTACGATTTTTCAGTTTTCCGATCCATTTTTCAATTTTTTTTTGTTTTCGAGTTTTTGATTTCTCGAGTTATCGATTTTCCGATTTTTCGATTTTTAAATATTTCGAATTTTTCCACTTTTCTATTTTTGATTTTTTAGATTTTTGAAATTTTGTTTTTTCGATTTTTCGAATTTTCATGTTTCGGTGTTTCGATATTTTAATTTTCAATTTTTTTAATTTCAATGTCTTGATTTTTTAATATTTACATTTTTTGACTTTTCCAATTTTTCGAATTTTTGATTTCTGGAATATGTATTTGATTCATCGAATTTTCGACTTGTTTGATTTCTCGTGTTTTCGATTTTCGATGCCCGAATTTTCAATCTTTCTACTTTTCAACTTTCCAATTTTTGATTATTCAAACTTTTGATTTTTCATTTTTGACATTCTTTTAGACATTTAAATTTTTTTTTTTCAGATTGTCGAAATTTCGATTTTTCGGTTTTGCATTTTTCGAATATTTGACTCAATTTTTATTTATTTCATTTTTTACTTTTCGAATTCACAAATTTACAATTTTACGATTCTGCAGTTTTTCATTTTTCAATTTTCTGATTTCTCAAATTCTCGACTTTCCGATTTTTCTAATTTATCTAATTTGATTCATCAAATATTTGATTCATCAAATATTTGATTTTTCGGCTTTCGATATTTTAATTTTCGATTTATTAATTTCAACATCCCGATTTTTCAATTCTTCCATTTTTCAACTTTTCCATTCCGATTTTTAGAATTTCGAAATTTCGCTTGTTCGATTTTTCGGATTTTCATTTTTCGAATATTTCATTCATCGAATTTTCGATTTTTCGATATTGGAATTTTCAATTTTTTTACTTTTTGATGTTTTGATTTCTCGAGTTTTCGATTTTCGATACTCGAATTTTCAATCTTTCTACTTTTCGACTTTTTGATTTTTCAAATTTTCGATTTTTTCAATTTTCTTTTTACTTTTTGATTTTTTGATTTCTAAAGTTATCGTCTTTCCTCTTTCGAATTTTCGTTTTGTCAATTTTCGAATATTTGATTCATCGAATTTTCGGTTTTTCCATATTTTAATTTTCAATTTTTTTAATTTCAATGTCTCGATTTTTCAATTTTTCCGTTTTTCGACTTTTCCATTTCTGATTTTTAGATTCTCGAAATTTCGGATTTTCATTCTTCGATTTTAGATTTTTCGATATTCGAATTTTCAATTTCTTTATTTTTCGATTTTTAATTTTTTTACTTTTCGATTTTTTGATTTCTGGAGTTTTCGATTTTCGATACTCGAATTTTCAATCTTCCTACTTTTCGACTTCTCAATTTTCGATGTTTCAAGTTTTCGATTTTTCAATTTTTTTAGACATTTAATTTTTTTACTTTTCGATTCTCGAATTTTTAATTTTACTATTTTGTAGTTTTTCCATTTTTCAATGTTCGATTTTTTGATTATTCAAGTTTCGATTATTAAATATTTCGAATTTTCAATTTTTCCATTTTTGGACTTAAATTTCAGATTTTTTGATTTTAGAAATTTCGGTTTTTCGATTTTTCGGATTTTCATTTTTCCGATATTTGATTCATCGAATTTTAGATTATTCGAATTTTCAATCTCTTTACTTTTCGATTTTTGATTTTTTTACTTTTCGATTTTTTGATTTCTCGAGTTTCGATTTTCGATACTCGAATTTGCAATCTTTCTACTTTTCGACTTTTCAATTTTTGATGTTTCAAATTTTCGATTTTTCAATATTGGAATTTTCAGTTTCTTAACTTTTCGATTTTTGATTTTTTTAAGAATGTAATACTTGAAAAGTCTAAAATTTGAAAAATCAAAAATCGAATTTTCGAAATTCTAAAAATCGGAAATGGAAGTCTAAAAACGGAAAAATAGAAAAATTATGGAGGAATTGAAATAAAAAAAAATTGAAAATTCGAAATATCGAACAATCGAAAGTTGAATAATCAAAAATTGGATGAATCAAATATTCGAAAACTGAAGAAACGAAAAATCGGAAAATAGAGAATTCGAGAAATCAAAAAATCGAAAATGAAAGTCTAAAAATGGAAAACTTGAAAAAAAAGAGGAATTGAAAAAACGAAAATCCGAAAACTCGAGAAATCAAAAAATCAAAAGGGAAAAAGAATTTAAAAATGGAAAAACTGCAAAATCGGAAACTTGAAAATTCGAGAATTCGAAAAGTAAAAAAATGTCTAAAAACTTAAGAATGTAATAATTGAAAAATTGAAAATTTTGAAACTTTAAAAATTGAAAATTCGGGTATTGAAAATCGAAAAGTAAAGAAACAGAAATTCGAATATCGAAAAATCCAAAAATTTGATGAATCAAAATTCGAATAATGAAAATCCGAAAAATGGACAAATTGAAAAATCCAGACTGAAATTAAAAAAAAATTGGAAATTAAAATATCGAAAAACCGAAAATATGAAATACTGAAAAATCGAAAGTCGAATAACCGCAAAGTCGATAACTCGAGAAATCAAAAAATCGAGAAGTAAAAAAAAATGAAAAATAAATCAAATGTCTAAAAACTTTTAGAATGTTAAAATTTGAAAAATCAAAAATTGAAAAGTCAAAAAGTAGAAAGAAATATCGAAAATCGAAAACTCGAGAAATCAGAGAATCGAAAAGTAAAAAAATCAAAAATCGAAAAGTAAAGAAACTGAAAATTCCAATATTGAAAAATCGAAAATTTGAAACATCAAAAATTGAAAAGTCGAAAAGTAGAAAGATTGCAAATTCGAGTATCGAAAATCGAAACTCGAGAAATCAAAAAATCGAAAAGTAAAAAAATTAAAAATCGAAATGTAATAAAATCAAAAATCGAAAAGTAAAAAAATCAAAAATCGAAAAGTAAAAAAATCAAAAATCGAAAAGTAAAGAGATTGAAAATTCGAATAATCTAAAATTCGATGAATCAAATATCGGAAAAATGAAAATCCGAAAAATCGAAAAACCGAAATTTCGAAAATCAAAAAATCTGAAATGGAAGTCCAAGAATGGAAAAATTGAAAATTCGAAATATTTAACAATCGAAAGTTGAATAATCAAAAAATCGAACATTGAAAAATGGAAAAACTACAAAATAGTAAAATTGAAAATTCGAGAATCGAAAAGTAAAAAAATTAAATGTCTAAAAAACTTAAGACTTGAAAAATCGAAAACTTGAAACATCGAAAATTGAGAAGTCGAAAAGTAGGAAGATTGAAAATTCGAGTATCGAAAATCGAAAACTCCAGAAATCAAAAAATCGAAAAGTAAAAAAATTAAAAATCGAAGAATGAAAATCCGAAATTTCGAGAATCTAAAAATCAGAAATGGAAAAGTCGAAAAACGGAAAAATTGAAAAATCGAGACATTGAAATTAAAAAAATTGAAAATTAAAATATCGAAAAACCGAAAATTCGATGAAACAAATATTCGAAAATTGACAAAACGAAAATTCGAAAGAGGAAAGACGATAACTTTAGAAATCAAAAAATCAAAACGTAAAAAGAAAATTGAAAAAATCGAAAATTTGAAAAATCAAAAAGTCGAAAAGTAGAAAGATTGAAAATTCGAGTATCGAAAATCGAAAACTCGAGAAATCAGAACATCAAAAAGTAAAAAAATTGAAAATTCCAATATCGAAAAATCGAAAATTCGATGAATGAAATATTCGAAAAATGAAAATCCGAAAAATCGAACAAGCGAAATTTCGAAATTCTAAAAATCGGAATGGAAAAGTTGAAAAATGGAAGAATTGAAAAATCGGGATGTTGAAATTAATAAATCGAAAATTAAAATATCGAAAGCCGAAAAATCAAATATTTGATGAATCAAATTAGATAAATTAGAAAAATCGGAAAGTCGAGAATTTGAGAAATCAGAAAATTGAAAAATGAAAAACTGCAGAATCGTAAAATTGTAAATTTGTGAATTCGAAAAGTAAAAAATGAAATAAATAAAAATTGAGTCAAATATTCGAAAAATGCAAAACCGAAAAATCGAAATTTCGACAATCTGAAAAAAAAAATTAAATGTCTAAAAGAATGTCAAAATTGAAAAATCAAAAGTTTGAATAATCAAAAATTGGAAAGTTGAAAAGTAGAAAGATTGAAAATTCGGGCATCGAAAATCGAAAACACGAGAAATCAAACAAGTCGAAAATTCGATGAATCAAATACATACATATTCCAGAAATCAAAAATTCGAAAAATTGGAAAAGTCAAAAAATGGAAATATTAAAAAATCAAGACATTGAAATTAAAAAAATTGAAAATTAAAATATCGAAACACCGAAACATGAAAATTCGAAAAATCGAAAAAACAAAATTTCAAAAATCTAAAAAATCAAAAATAGAAAAGTGGAAAAATTCGAAATATTAAAAAATCGAAAAATCGGAAAATCGATAACTCGAGAAATCAAAAACTCGAAAATAAAAAAAAATTGAAAAATGGATCGGAAAACTGAAAAATCGTAAAACTGAAAATTCGATGAATCAAAATTCGAACAATGAAAATCCGAAAAATAGAAACACCGAAATCTGCATGTATTTGCTCTTCCCCCCTAAAAAATTGATGACGTCACTCCAAAATTTTGCTGAATAAATCCTATCTAAAATGTACAAAATATGATGAGTCTGTACTTGTGATTTATCATTCCAATCATAGTTTCTGGATTTGCATATACAGGGTGACTCAAAAAAATTAATGAATGCGCGAATTTATTTTATCGATTTAATCAGGAATTACAGAACCGAATGCTGTGAAATCTTGGAGATATTTTAAAGTTATCATAAGCATGGTAAATTTTTTATCAAAATTTATTTGCTCATCCCCCCTAAAAAATTGATGACGTCACCCTAAAATTTGGTGAATAAATCTTATTTAAAATGTGAAAAATATGATGAGTGTGTACTTGTGATTTATCATTCCATTCATATTTTTTAGATTTTCATAAGAGGTGGCTCAAAAAAATTAATGAAGTCAATTTATTTTATTGATTAAATTAAAGGCAACACTTATTATTAGTATTACATTGGACCAACCCAATTTGGTAGACACAAAATTTTTTAAAGTAAAAACTCGGTTGAAACATAAGGGTAGCACGCTTATTTACATCGACTTTAACATTACAGACGTGCATTTGTTTTGTGGGCTGACTAGGTTCCGCGAATGTGGTATAGACATGTTTATAATCAACCAATTGTGAATTCCACCGTCAAAAATTAAAATAAAACCCAATGTTTTATATAATAAGCGGAAGTCGAAGCAATAGAACCGATGGTCGTTTTGTTTACAGTTTCTCTGTTTGACTCTCACGTATGCTGTTACGCTTGTCATCTTAAATTAAGAATGTTTATACATAAACGATTTTCAGTTGCCGTATACGTGAGTAAATTGTTTCGTTATTTTATTGATTATAACAAATCAATATTCAAAACGACCCAATTAATAGAAAATAAATTACAGACCCCGAGCCCATCACTAGCATCAACGCCACGTCGATCTCCGATACCGAAATAACCCTATCGTGGGACTCCCCCAAAGGGGACTACATCGCGTTCGAAATCAACTACCTCACGTTTGAAGGTACCCTGGTCCATAACTTCACGTCGCAGAACTCCATCACGATCTCGTCGCTCAAACCCCACCAGAACTACACCTTCACGGTGATGGTGCGCAGCGGCACCGAGTCCAGTATTTTGCGCCAATCGCTTCCGGTGTCCGCGATTTTTCCGACGAAGGAGTCGGTTCCGGGGCGCGTCGAGCGCTTCGAGCCCGTCGACGTCCAACCCAGTAGCATCACCTTCGAGTGGTCGCTACCCCCGACGGAGCAAAACGGCGTCATCAGGAAGTTCACCATCACGTACGGCCTTGAAGGCTCGTCCAATACCCAAGGACGCGACTTCAAACCCCACGAGTTCACCGGTGTCATCAAACAGTTGTTGCCTGGAAAGACCTACGTCTTCAGGATTCAAGGACAGACGAAGGTGGGTTTCGGGCCCGAGCGCACCTGGAAGCAACGAATGCCAATACGGTAAGCGGTTAAATTTATTTTAAACCAGACTTTACTATTTACAATACAATGAATAGAGAGCCACCGATTCCGAGTTTCCGGGCTGTCCCGACTGAAGTCCGTCGCAGCTCAACCACCATCCAGATCCGCTTCAGGAAGAACTACTTCAGCGACGCCAACGGCCCCGTCACCACCTACGCGATTATAGTGGCTGAAGACTTCTCCAAGAACGCGTCGGGTCTAGAGATGCCTAGTTGGCGCGACGTTCAAGCCTACTCCGTCTGGCCGCCGTACCAAGTCTCGGAACCTTACTACCCGTTCTTCAATAGCTCGGTGGAGGACTTCACCATAGGCGCGGAGAGCTGCGATATCCGGCAAGTTGGGTACTGCAACGGGGCGCTGAAGAGCGGGTCGACGTATAGAGTGAAGATTCGAGCTTTTACGGCTCCTGATAAGTTCACCGACACCAGTTACAGCTTTCCGATTCAGACAGGTGGGTGTTGTTATCAGTGGATTAGTGAGAGATAGTGCATATGCAAATATTTTTTGTTGTTATTGATTTGTTGATGCTGCCAAGGACTTCTAAGGATGGGTGAGTTTCTTAGAATTGATTCGGGCAAAAATAGAAATAATCGATAGGTATTAGGCACGGGGCTAGTTTAAATCGAGGTTTAAAGCGGGCCGGGTTGAGGCTGGTGATGAGTGTGTGATAAGGTTAGAGGGGCTGTGAGGGGCGACGCGTGTAAGTAGGGCTTGATTTATCGGTGGAGTGTGTGTGGGTTTGAGGTTGGAGTATGTACGGGGAAATGTGGCGCGAAATAATGATCTTCGGGACAGTTTAGACTCTTGTGGCTCAGAGGCGGCTCGTCGGATGACGCCTTATAGTGACCACTTAACCAATAAAATACCATGAAACATATCCATAATCGATATTTCGAATTTTTAGTTTTTCGGTTTTTGGAAATTTCGATTTTTGATTTTTCAAATTTCCTATTTTTCGACTTTTCCATTTCCCGTTTTCAAATTTAGATTTACAACTTTTTGGTTTTCCACTTTTTCAATTTTTCAAGTTCGATTTTTCGATTTTAGATTTTACGAATTTTCGAAATTTCGATTTTTAAATTTTTTATTTCTCGACTTCCCAAATTTTCAACTTTACGATTTTTTGAATTTTCGTTTTTCCAATTATTATCGAAATTTAATCCTGCGGATTTTCTATTTTTCGATATCCGAATTCTCGATTTCTTTATTTTTCGATTTTCGTTATTTCAATCTTCCTACATTTCGACTTTTCCATTTTTGATTCTTCAAATTTTCAATTTTTCGATTTTGACATTCTTAAGTTTTTAAACATTTAATTTTTTGCTTTTCGAATGCTCCAATTTTCAATTTTCAGATTTTGCAGTTTTTCCATTTTTCTATTTTTCTTTACTTTTCGATTTTTTGATTTCTCGAGTTCTCGACTTTCCAATTTTTCGAATTTTTATTTTTCCAATTTTCGAATATTTGATTCATCGAATTTTTGATTATTTAAATTTCGCTTGTTCAATATTTCGAATTTTCGTGTTTTTGATTTTTCGAATTTTGATTAGTAATTTTTTGGTTTTCCACTTTTTCGATTTTTTAGTGTCTCAATTTTTAATTTTTCAACTTTTCAACTTCGATTTTTGATTTTACGAATTTTCGATTTTCAATTTTTTCTAATTTTTAGTCTTTTGATTTTTCGATAGTTCGAAATTCTAATTTTCAATTTTTTTTTATTCCAATTTCTCGATTTTGCTATTTTCCGACTTTTAGATCTTCGAAATTCGGTGTTTCGATTTTTTGGATTTTCATTTTTAGAAATTTGATCCAGCGAATTTTCTATTTTGCGATATTCCAATCCTCAATTTCTTTACTTTTCGACTTTTGAATTTTTGATTTTTCAAATTTTCAATTTTTTTCTTTTTGACATTCTCAAGTTTTTAGACATTTAATTTTTTCCATTTCCGATTTTTACTGTCGAAATTTCGATTTTTCGGTTTTTCATTTTTCGAATATTTGACTCATCAAATTTTCGATCTTTCGATATTCGGATTCTCAATTTTTTTACTTTTCGATTTTTCAATTTTTAAATTCTAAAGTTTTTAAACATTTCATTTTTTACTTTTTGAATGCACACATTTTCAATTTTACGATTTTGTAGTTTTTGATTTTTCAGTTTTTTTTACTTTTCGATTTTTTGATTTCTCGAGTTGTCGACTTTCCGATTTTTCGAAATTTTCGTTTTTTCTAATTTTCGAATATTTGATTCATCGAATTTTTGATTTTGCGGCTTTCGATATTTTAATTTTCATTTTTTAACTTCAATGTTCCGATCTTTCAATATTTCCATTTTTCGACTTTTCCATTTCCAACTTGTTCAAATTCCGGTTTTTCGATTTTTCGGATTCTCATTTTTAGAATATTTCGTTCATGGAATTTTCGATTTTTTGATTTCTCTAGTTTTCGATTTTCGATACTGGAATTTTCAATTTTTCTACTTTTCGACCTTTTGATTTTTCATATTTTCGATTTTTCAATTTTTTTTACTTTTCGATTTTTTGATTTCTCGACTTCTCAACTTTCCAATTTATCGAATTTTCGTTTTTTCAATTTTCGAATATTTGATTCATCGAATTTTTCAAATTTTCGGTTTTTCGATATTTTAATTTTCAGTTTTTTTAATTTGAATGTCTCGATTTTTTAATTTTTCATTTTTCGACTTTTCCATTAACGATTTTTAGATTGTCGAAATTTCCATCTTTCGATATTCGGATTCTCATTTTTTTTACTTTTCGAATTCACAAATTTTCAATTTTACGATTTTGAAATTTTTAAATTTTTTTTACTTTCCAATTTTTTTATTTCTAGAGTTCTCGACTTTCCGATTTTTCGAATTTTCGATTTTTCGATATTTTAATTTTCATTTTTTTTTAGATCAATTTCCATTTTTCGACTTTTCCTTTTCGATTTTTAGAATTTAGAAATTTCAGTTTTTCGGTTTTTCGATATTGGAATTTTCAATTTTTTTTCTTTTCGATTTTTTGATTTCTCGAGTTTTCGATTTTCGATACTCGAGTTTTCAAGCTTTCTACTTTTCGACCTTTCGATTTTTGATTTTTCAAAGTTTCAATTTTTACATTCTTAAGTTTTTCCATTTCAATTTTTTTTACTTTTCGTTTTTTCAATTTTCCAATATTTGATTAATCGAATTTTTGATTTTTCGACTGTCGATTTTTCAGTATTTCGAATTTTCGGTTTTTCGATATTTTAATTTTCAATTTTTTTAGATTCAATTTTTCCAATTTTTGGACTTTTCTTTTTCTGATTTTTAGATTTTCGAAATTTCGGTTTTTCGAATTTTGTTTCATCGAATTTTCGATATTCGACTTTTCAATTTTTGATTTTTAAAATTTTCGATTCTTCATTTATTACATTCTTAAGTTTTTTGACATTTAATTTTTTACTTATCGAATTCTCGAATTTTCATTTTTACGATTTTGCAGTTTTTCCATTTTTCATTTTTTTAACTTTCCGATTTTTTGATTTCTGGAGTTCTGCACTTTTCGATTTTTCGGCTTTCGATTGTTCGATATTTCGAATTTTCAATTTTTCGATATTCTAATTGTCATTTTTTTAAATTTCAATTCCTGGATTTTTTGGAATTTTCCATTTTTTCGATATATTTTCATCGAATTTTTGATTTTTCGATATTCGAATTTTCAATTCCTTTACTTTTCGAATTTCTATTTTTTACTTTTCGATTTTTTGATTTCTCGAGTTTTCGATTTTCAATACCCCAATTTTCAATCTTTCTAAGTATTCTTCGACTTTTCAATTTTTGATTTTTCAAATTTTCAATTTTTCAACTTTTACGTTCTTAAGTTTTTAGACATTTCATTTTTTTTTTTTTAATTTCGAATTCTCGAATTTACAACTTTACGAATTTACAGTTTTTCCATTTTTCAATTTTTTTTTACTTTTCAATTTTTTGATTTCTTGAGTTCTCGACTTTCCGATTCTTCGACTTTCGATTTTTCAATATTTCGAATTTTCGGTTTTTCGTTATTTTAAATTTCATTTTTTGTAATTTCAATGTCTCCATTTTTCAATTTTTCCATTTTTCGACTTTTCTATTTCTGATTTTTAAATTTTCGAACTTTCGGTTTTTCGACTTTTCGGATTTTCATTTTTCGAATTTTGATTCATCGAATTTTCGACTTTTTTATATTGGAATTTTCAGTTTCTTTCCTCTTCGATTTTATATTTTTTACTTTTCGATTCTTTGATTTCTCTAGTTTTCGATATTTCAATCTTTCTATTTTTCAACTTTTCAATTTTTGATTTTTCAAATTTTGAGACTCTTAAGTTTTTAGACACTTAATTTATTTTTCTTTTCGAAGTCTTGAATTTTCAATTTTACGATTTTGCAGTTTTTCCATTTTTCAATTTTTTTCCTTTCCGCTTTTTTGTTTTCGCGAGTTGTCGGACTTTCTGATGTTTCGACTTTCGATTTTTCAGTATTTCAATTTTTCGGTTTTTCGATATTTTAATTTTCAATTTTTTTAATTTCAGTCTCGATTTTTTAATTTGTCCATTTTTCGATTTTTCCGTCTTTCGATATTCGAATTTTCAGTTGCTTTACTTTTCGATTATCAATTTTTTTACTTTTCGATTTTTTGATTTCTCAAGTTTTGGATTTTCGATACTCGAATTTTCAATTTTTGATGTTTCAAGTTTTTGATTTTTTGATTGCTGGAGTTCACGACTTTCCGATGTGTCGAATTTTCGTTTTTATATTTGATTCATCGAATTTTTTATTGTTGGGCTTCGGATTTTTCAAAATTTCGATTTTTCAATTTTTCCATTTTTGAATTTCCGATTTTTCGAATTTTCATTTTTCAAATATTTGATTCACCGAATTTTCGATCTTCGAATTTTCAATTTCTCTACCTGCTTTTCGATTTTCAATTTTTTTAGTTTTCGATTTTTGGATTTGTCGAGTTTTCGATTTTCGATTCCGAATTTTCTTTCTACTTTTCGATTTTTGATTTCTCAAATTTTCGATTTTTTAATTCTTACATTCTTGAGTTTTTCGACGTTTAAATTTTTACTTTTCTAATTTTCGGCTTTTCAATTTTTCAGTTTTTGCATTTTTCATTTTTTTTATTTTTCAATTATTTTGAGTTGTTATTTACGCCACTGATTTCCCTTTATACAGGTTATCACAAAACAAAGATTGCAAAATCAAATTTTATAATTTTTCAGAGAAGCTGAATTTGTTGGACTTTATTTCAAACACCAAAGAAGTTCTGTCGAAATAACCTTCTACCGATTTTTGTTAATGTTTTCAAATATAAATTTCCAGAGGCTCTAAGATTTTTTTAAAATTCTATGGAAAAAAGACAACAGCGCCCAAAATTTTTTCAAACTGCTTCAAAAACAGAATACCAAGACCCTCCAAGATTAAAAAAAAAAATAAATAGGAAAGACAGGAGAGTTTTTCAAAAACAAAACACCATTACATTGCATTTTAAAATACGAATCATTGAAATGACGTCATCAAATTAGTGGGGATGTTAGCTAGACCAGACAGAGAGACGGCAACGGGAGACTACTTTTTCGGGTCATGAAACGTCAAGAAAACGTAAACGTAGAGAGTCGTCGTATAAAACTCGGCTTTATCAAACTCATTATGGATAATCATAGCCTAATTAAAATTACAAATCCAGTCCAATTGATCTAGGCAAAAATAGAAACAATCAATACCCTTCGAGTCCTCTAATTTCGTGACCTTCAACCATTTTTGAAAACTTTATTTTCTCGTTTCTTTAGACCAAGACAACACCAACATAATACTCGGCGTGCTCATCCCGCTGGTCCTCTTCGCCATCCTCTTCCTCGTCATCATCTACATCCGGCGGCGGCGCTCCGCCCGCAAGGCCACCGACACCCGGACCAATGACAACATGTCCCTCCCCGACTCCGTCATCGAGACCTCGCGCCCCGTCCGAATCGAGAACTTCGCCAACCACTACCGGCTGATGTCCGCCGACTCGGACTTCCGCTTCAGCGAAGAGTTCGAGGAGCTGAAGCACGTGGGTCGGGACCAACCCTGCACGTTCGCCGACCTGCCCTGCAACCGACCCAAGAACAGATTCACCAACATCCTGCCCTACGACCACTCGCGCTTCAAGCTGCAGCCGGTGGACGACGAGGAGGGCTCGGACTACGTCAACGCCAACTACGTGCCGGTAGGTGGTCGAATCAGTACGTGGAGCGTGGTCTAAGGGTTGTTTGCAGGGGTACAACTCGCCGAGGGAGTTCATCGTGACGCAAGGACCTCTCCATTCCACTCGAGACGACTTCTGGAGGATGGTGTGGGAGTCCAACTCAAGGGCTATTATTATGTTGACGCGATGCGTGGAGAAGGGGCGGGAGAAGTGCGATCATTACTGGCCGTACGAGTCGATGCCGGTGTACTACGGGGACATTTCGGTGCAGATTTTGAACGAGACGAGGTATCCCGATTGGAATATTTCGGAGTTTATGGTGTGCAGGGTGAGTATCCCGTCACACTATTATTATTATCATTATTATTACTATTGTTTTGTTGTTGTTGTTAAGGGTGACCAGCAGAGGGTGATTCGCCACTTCCACTTCACCACGTGGCCGGACTTCGGCGTCCCTAACCCCCCTCACACCCTGGTTAGGTTCGTGCGGGCGTTCCGGGAGCGGGTAGGCCCGGACCAGCGACCCATCGTGGTACATTGCAGGTACAACACTATTGTTAAATTTAGGTCCAGGGCAGGGATGTTGCGGATACAGATTTTTCAACATCTGCGGATGCGGATCTCAAGTTTTTTTTTAAGAAACTTAGTATATGTACAGAAATCAGTTCAAAAAAATTGGTCTAAAGAGTTTAGACAGTACTTCCCTCGCTGTCGGAAACTTGACGACTGCATGGCTATTGTGTTTTTTTCTCATTACATTTTTGTAGTGGGAATTTAAAAAAAATTGCGATGACGTCATCAACATTTTTGCAAGGACACGTATATCAGTTGGGATAGATGTAGTGTAATACTAAGAATAAAATTATTGTACTCCCAAATTTTCGGGAAAATGAATTGGGTCGTTTTGAATATTGATTTTTTATAATCAAGAAAGTAACGAAACAATTTACTCATGTATACGGCAACTGAAAATCGTTTATGTATAAACATTCTTAATTTAAGATGACAAGCGTAACAGCATACGTGAGAGTCAAACAGAGAAACTGTAAACAAAACGACCATCGGTTTTATTGCTTCGACTTCCGCTTATTATATAAAACATTGGGTTTTATTTTAATTTTTGACGGTGGAATTCACAATTGGTTGATTATAAACATGTCTATTCCACATTCGCGGAACCTAGTCAGCGCACAAAACAAATGCACGTCTGTAATGTTAAAGTAGATGTAAATAAGCGTACTACCCTTAAGTTTCAACCGAGTTTTTACTTTAAAAAATTTTGTGTCTACCAAATTGGGTTGGTCCAATGTAATACTAATAATAAGTGTTGCCTTTAATTTAATCAATAAAATAAATTGACTTCATTAACTTTTTTGAGCCACCTCTTAAGAAAATCTAAAAAATATGAATGGAATTATAAATCACAAGTACAAACTCATCATATTTTTCACATTTTAAATAAGATTTATTCAGCAAAATGTAAGGGTGACGTCATCAATTTTTTAGGGGGGATGAGCAAATAAATTTTGATAAAAAATTTACCATGCTTATGATAACTTTAAAATATCTCCAAGATTTCACAGCATTCGGTTCTGTAATTCCTGATTAAATCGATAAAATAAATTCACGCATTCATTAATTTTTTTGAGTCACCCTGTATATGCAAATCCAAAAACTATGATTGGAATGATAAATCACAAGTACAGACTCATCATATTTTTCACATTTTAGATAGGACTTATTCAGCAAAATTTTGGAGTGACGTCATCAATTTTTTAGGGGGGGAAGAACAAATACATGCAGATTTCGGTGTTTCTATTTTTCAGATTTTCATTGTTCGAATTTTGATTCATCGAATTTTCAGTTTTACGATTTTTCAGTTTTCCGATCCATTTTTCAATTTTTTTTTATTTTCGAGTTTTTGATTTCTCGAGTTATCGATTTTCCGATTTTTCGATTTTTTAATATTTCGAATTTTTCGACTTTTCTATTTTTGATTTTTTAGATTTTTGAAATTTTGTTTTTTCGATTTTTCGAATTTTCATGTTTCGGTGTTTCGATATTTTAATTTTCAATTTTTTAATTTCAATGTCTTGATTTTTTAATATTTCCATTTTTTGACTTTTCCAATTTTTCGAATTTTTGATTTCTGGAATATGTATTTGATTCATCGAATTTTCGATTTGTTTGATTTCTCGTGTTTTCGATTTTCGATGCCCGAATTTTCAATCTTTCTACTTTTCAACTTTCCAATTTTTGATTATTCAAACTTTTGATTTTTCAATTTTGACATTCTTTTAGACATATTTTTTTTTTTCAGATTGTCGAAATTTCGATTTTTCGGTTTTGCATTTTTCGAATATTTGACTCAATTTTTTCGATTTTTCAATTTTTACATTCTAAAATTTTTAAACATTTCATTTTCTACTTTTCGGATTCACAAATTTACAATTTTACGATTCTGCAGTTTTTCATTTTTCAATTTTCTGATTTCTCAAATTCTCGACTTTCCGATTTTTCTAATTTATCTAATTTGATTCATCAAATATTTGATTTTTCGGCTTTCGATATTTTAATTTTCGATTTATTAATTTCAACATCCCGATTTTTCAATTCTTCCATTTTTCAACTTTTCCATTCCGATTTTTAGAATTTCGAAATTTCGCTTGTTCGATTTTTCGGATTTTCATTTTTCGAATATTTCATTCATCGAATTTTCGATTTTTCGATATTGGAATTTTCAATTTTTTTACTTTTTGATGTTTTGATTTCTCGAGTTTTCGATTTTCGATACTCGAATTTTCAATCTTTCTACTTTTCGACTTTTTGTTTTTTCAAATTTTCGATTTTTTCAATTTTCTTTTAACTTTTTGATTTTTTGATTTCTAAAGTTATCGTCTTTCCTCTTTCGAATTTTCGTTTTGTCAATTTTCGAATATTTGATTCATCGAATTTTCGGTTTTTCGATATTTTAATTTTCAATTTTTTTAATTTCAATGTCTCGATTTTTCAATTTTTCCGTTTTTCGACTTTTCCATTTCTGATTTTTAGATTCTCGAAATTTCGGATTTTCATTCTTCGATTTTAGATTTTTCGATATTCGAATTTTCAATTTCTTTATTTTTCGATTTTTAATTTTTTTACTTTTCGATTTTTTGATTTCTGCAGTTTTCGATTTTCGATACTCGAATTTTCAATCTTCCTACTTTTCGACACCTCAATTTTCGATGTTTCAAGTTTTCGATTTTTCAATTCTTAAGTTTTTTAGACATTTTATTTTTTTACTTTTCGATTCTCGAATTTTCAGTTTTACTATTTTGTAGTTTTTCCATTTTTCAATGTTCGATTTTTTGATTATTCAACTTTCGATTGTTAAATATTTCGAATTTTCAATTTTTCCATTCTTGGACTTCCATTTCAGATTTTTTGATTTTCGAAATTTCGGTTTTTCGATTTTTCGGATTTTCATTTTTCCGATATTTGATTCATCGAATTTTAGATTATTCGAATTTTCAATCTCTTTACTTTTCGATTTTTGATTTTTTTACTTTTCGATTTTCGATGCTCGAATTTGCAATCTTTCTACTTTTCGACTTTTCAATTTTTGATGTTTCAAATTTTCTATTTTTCAATATTGGAATTTTCAGTTTCTTTACTTTTCGATTTTTGATTTTTTTACTTTTCGATTCTCTGATTTCTCGAGTTTTCGATTTTCGATATTTCTTTCTACTTTTTGACTTTTCAATTTTTGATTTTTCAAATTTTAACATTCTAAAAGTTTTTAGACATTTGATTTATTTTTCATTTTTTTTTACTTCTCGATTTATTGATTTGTCGAGTTATCGACTTTGCGGTTTTTCGACTTTCGATTTTTCAGTATTTCATATTTTCGGTTTTTCGATATTTTAATTTTGAATTTTTTTTTAATTTCAGTCTGGATTTTTCAATTTGTCCATTTTTCAGATTTTCATTATTCGAATTTTGATTCATCAAATTTTTGGATTTTTCGATATTCGAATTTCTGTTTCTTTACTTTTCGATTTTCAATACCCGAATTTTCAATTTTTAAAGTTTCAAAATTTTCAATTTTTCAATTATTACATTCTTAAGTTTTTAGACATTTTTTTACTTTTCGAATTCTCGAATTTTCAAGTTTACGATTTTGCAGTTTTTCCATTTTTAAATTCTTTTTCCCTTTTGATTTTTTGATTTCTCGAGTTTTCGGATTTTCGTTGTTTCAATTCCTCGTTTTTTTTCAAGTTTTCCATTTTTAGACTTCCATTTTCGATTTTTTGATTTCTCGAATTCTCTATTTTCCGATTTTTCGTTTCTTCAGTTTTCGAATATTTGATTCATCGAATTTTTGATTATTCAACTTTCGATTGTTCGATATTTCGAATTTTCAATTTTTTTTTATTTCAATTCCTCCATGATTTTTCTATTTTTCCGTTTTTAGACTTCCATTTCCGATTTTTAGAATTTCGAAAATTCGATTTTTGATTTTTCAAATTTTAGACTTTTTTATTATTACATGCGTTTTTCATTTCTTATACCAAAGGTCGGAGTTGAATTGCAAAATCCTCATTTCTCTGCAAGAATTTATTATATGAAATATGTTTTTAGGTTTTTACATCAAAATTTCTCTAAAAAATTCTACCCTTTTAAAAATATATTTCATATGATTATTTCTTGTAAAGAAAAGACGATTTTGCAAACTAAATTCAGCCCTTCAGCTTATGATGAATAAAATATTCATCACAATTGAGAAGGGGTGGGTGGGCGGGGCTTATATTTGGTCCATTTTTTTCGATTCTGTAATTCCTGATTAAATCAATAAAATAAATTGACGCATTCATTAATTTTTTTCAGTCACCCTGTATATGCAAATCGAAAAAATTTGAATGGAATGATAAATGACAAGAAGAGACTCACCATATTTTGTACATTTTAGATAGGATTTATTCAACAAAATTTTGTGGTGACGTCATAAATTTTTTAGGAGGGACGACCAAATACATTTTGATCAAAAATTTACCATGCTTATGATAATTTTAAAACATCTTCAAGATTTCAAAGCATTCGGTTTTGTAGTTCCTGAGTAAATCAGTAAATTAAATTTTGCGCATTCATTAATTTTTTTGAGTCACCCTGTATATGCAAATCCAAAAAATATGAATGGAATGATATATCACAAGTACAGACGCATCATATTTTGTACATTTTAGATAGGATTTACTCGGCAAACTTTTGAGCTGACGTCATCAAGTTTTTGGAGGGGATAACCAAATATATTTTGGCTAAAGATTTATGATGCTCTTTAGAGCCTTAAAACATCTGCAACATTTCAAAACATTCGGGTTAGCAGATTCAAAATTAAATTGCAAAATGTTGTGTTATAATTTTGATTTTTTTTCCAAAGATCTGGACGTTTCGGGTAAAAACTGAATTCGGAGTCGTAAACTACATGTGTAGGACTATGTTATTTTATACAATTTAAAACCCATTTACTATGTACAATTTTTTATTGTATCAAAAACGATATTCACTTTTTGTGAAATTCTTAAAATAAAGTCATCTTTCACCACCTCACAAATACATACATACTAAAATTGTGAAGTTTTGTATAAATAATTTTAGATAATTTTTTTAGCATATACTGTATATCCTTTGTCACACAAAAACCTGAACTCCGCTCCAGGTCGGGTAGTCACTAGTTTAAAATTTTTTTTGTTCTTTTCCAACTTTGTTTATCTAAATTAAATATTACTTTAACTTGTCTCTCTGTTTTTGTAAATGTCTTGCAAAATATTTAGAAGTCATCGGATTGTTATGAAGTTTGTAAAATGTAATTTTTTTTTTATTTCTATTTTCTACTAAATCTGATTAATTGTAAACCTCGAAATTCTGAAACGATTGAGAAGTTATTGGCTGTATTTCAAAAACATAGAATTTGCTACTTTTGGCATATATGTACTTATAATTAAGAACTAAAATGTATTTAAAAAAAAATTGATTTTTAAGATAACACGAAATTAAATAGAACAGTAGGTATTCTTCCATTTTTAAGTTGTTGTATTCCTAGACGAACTAATCTTTTACTTATTTAAATACATAGTCACTGGTCCAGGGATGTTATTGATTGTTTGTTTGTAGCGCCGGGGTGGGCCGCTCGGGCACGTTCATCTGTCTGGACCGCATCCTGCAGCAGATCCTCGTGTCCGACTACGTCGACATCTTCGGCATAGTGTACGCCATGCGCAAGGAGCGCGTCTGGATGGTCCAGACCGAGCAGCAGTACATTTGTATCCATCAGTGCCTTCTGGCCGTCCTGGAGGGCAAGGAGCTGTCGGGTTCGCCGCGCGAGATCCACGAGAATCAGGGTTTCGAAGGTAAGGAGCGCCTCGAGGCGGGCTTGTCGCTGTCCTGATGTAAATGCCATTTTTGGTGTGTATGCAGAAATGGTAACTCAGTTGTTTAGTCGATGTAAAAAGCTGCTATTCTGTGGTTCAGGCAAGGGTGTTGGTGGAAGCGGCGCTGTTGGGACTTCTTTAGGGACGGGGGAGAAGGAAAGGTAGTTTAACACACACTTCTGGCTGCACTGTAACGCTTTCGTCGGTAACACGATTATTTTTTAAGCATGCGCATCGTAGGTTAGGTGATGCACTCGTCAAGCTGGTTTTTCAGGAATGACCTAGTAATTTCTCAATTTCCTAACACAGTCTTACAATTTTGAGTTACTAACTTTTCTTCAAGTCGTGTTCGTCCACTGATCTTTTTTCGTTTGTGCAGATGACGAAGGAATAGCAGAATCTGGGATGTGATAAAGCTCCGTACCGGCAAGAAGCAATAAGCATTGTATAAATAGAAGTAGATTTGTTACATATATTTTATTATGTAAGCGACTATAGATTTGATATTATATAACTAATTGTACAGTATTTCCACTTTTTTAAGAAGTGACATTTCTTTGAGAGTGACGCATCTGGCGCAATCATTCCTGTTCATCGGTGCCAGACAAAGTAGCCATACCTCTGAGTGCAATTTTTTCATAAAGTTGCACAACAGATTTTCCGCTCTGTCATTGTCCGTACTTTATGTTCTATCATTAATTTAAAAATTACCGTTCTGTGATATAATGATTCGGTTTAGTGTAATTTTTTTAACGAAAGAGAAAAACCTTTATATCCATAGCGAATAAATAACCCGCTTTGTACTTAAACCAGATTAAAGTCTATTTTATTTGAACTGTGTTTTTATTATCCCAATGCAACCACCAGCCTGTTGGGGCCGAAGCAACGAATGCTGCACCTGGTTTATCTGCCAAGCTCACAAAGAAGAAAAGTGAAGGATCCAAGTTGGTTACTACAAAAATTTACCATTTTAGACATGTTTCAAGTGTCTTGTTGTCGAAATAAGTCTACCCATATCAAGAAAAACAGGTAAAATGTAGCCCCGCCCACCCGCCCTATCTCGATTGTGATGATTTTTTTTATTCGTCGTGAGCCAAGAAGGAGGAGCTTAACTGCAAAATCCTTATTTCTTTACCAGAAATTAAAAACATGTTGTTACAACCCAAACAGCCCGCCTTAAACCGACATGTCAAAAAAACTGAAAGCACGCGAAAAATGGCTGCGATCGCTGTTCAGTCCCCCAATATTGAACTTTGGATGAAATTTAAATGAAATCCAATTAAACTTTCTGAATCAACGCAGATATTTGAAAATCACAAATTTAATAAAAACGAAGCAAAATCTTAAGTAAATAACTGCATGCAAATACACAAGTTATTACGAGCGTGGTGCAACAAAAATAGCCATAGCAGAAGCGCAGTTTGGGGCTACCGGTTGGGGCTGTCCCCCCTCGCTGATTTTATCTATCGCAAGTACTGCCGCCCAGCACGAAAAACATGTCTAGTCGAGCAGGCCGTTACGGTCGCAAACTTTTGTGCAGATGGCGCGATAAATCTCGCCAGCTCGACTAGGAACCGTGCACTCCGCTTCTGCCACGTTTTCTGTGTTATTTAACCTCAATTCCATTTTAAATGTTCAATTTCTATGACTCTGATATTAACAACAGCTGAACAAGTGTTAAAGCTTCAAAAAGAGCAATAAACAACATTTAAATTCGCCGTACAATGTTATGAAATTTTAAACAACAAATAATTCTTATGTGAGATTAAAATTGGACATGGGATGATTTATATGATGGAAACATTCATCAACAAAATATTTACAAAACAAAAACTAGCAAAGATTTATAAAAACAAAAGATCTGGTGTGAAATAAACTTGTGCAAATAAAAATATTGCGTGACGTTAAAACTGTAGAGCCTGAAAATTTACATGAGATTTTTGCCACACAAAAATATCCAGTCATCCTTGCGAGGAAAAAGCGTCTCGGTGATGCTGTAAACAAACTATTAGCAATTTTGTGTGAAGAATTAAGAAGTGTTATAGAGTAACACTTACGTATTAGCATCCAGAAACTTATTCATAACTGGTAAACAAAGGTTATTATCCTGACTACGTGAATTTCATGAAATCTCCTAGAAAATGTCTGTTACATTGGTTAGAACCAGTTAACGAGTAAAATCCTAACCTGTCGGTGAATTTACAAACAATAAAACAAATGTACAGCACGTGTAGCGCAAGAATTAGCTGTGCGTGTTGGGGAAAACATTTCATTTTCGTAAAAACCAAAGAAACTAACTAACGTGCTTACACTAGCACAAACATACCCAGACTATCGCTTTCACCATGTTTTTTTCCGTCATGTCTACCCAAACCGCCCTCTCATAACCAACCCTCTAACTAACAAACAGAACTACCAACTACCCTCAAGCGCTAACATGCACATGGTTGCCTATGTTTAACGATTTTTTTGTTTGAATTTTTTTTTTCAAATTCAAATTATTCAAACGTGATTTCGCGCCGGTGTTAATTAAATTCAGCGCGAAAATTTAATTCAAATTATATATTTATATTAATAAAAATGAATCCAAAGATTATAGATTAGACTCTATCCAAACCCGCCCCCGATCTCAATTCTCAATTGCGATGAATTTTTCATTCGTTGTCAGATCGAGGGGCGGGGCTTAATTGCAAGATCAATATTTGTCTACAAGAATTTACCATTTTAAGTTTCTTGTTTTGGAAAGATGACTGCGTATATTAAGAAAACAAGGCAAAATATATGCCCCGCCCACCCACCCTATCTCAAATGTGATGATTTTTTTTATTCGTCGTCAGCCAAGAGGGCGGAGCTTCACTGCAAGATCCTTATTTCTCTACGAGGAGTATCGTGTTCTTCAAAAAGTACTATGTATATTAAGAAAAATAAAGCCAAAGATTAGGTCCCACCCATTCCCGCCCTGACCTCAATTAGCAATTGTGATGAATTTTTCATTCGTTGTCAGATCGAGGGGCGGGGCTTAATTCAAAGATCCATATTTATCTACAAGAATTTACCATTTTAAGTTTCTTGTTTTGGAAAGATGACTACGTATATTAAGAAAACGAGGCAAAATATATGCCCCGCCCACCCACCCTATCTCAATTGTGATGATTTTTGTATTCGTCGTCAGCCAAGAGGGCGGAGCTTGACTGCAAGATCCTTATTTCTCTACGAGAAATTAAAAACATGATGTGGTTCAAAGAATACTATGTATATTAAGAAAAAAATAAAGCCAAAGATTAGGCCCCACCCATACCCGCCCCGATCTCAACTGTGATACATTTTTCATTCGTTGTCAGAACGAGAGGCGGAGCTTAATATTTATCTAGAAGAATTTACTATTTTAAACATGTTGTAAGTTTCTTGTTCTAAAAAGACAACTACGTGGTGTGTTAACAAAAAAGGCGAGATATAAGCCCCGCCCACCCACCTTATTTCAATTGGGATGATTTTTTTTTTAATCGCCAAAGCAGCGGAATGTAATTGCAAAATCCTTATTATTTCTCTACAAGATTAAGCCCCACCCATATCTGCCCTGATCTAAATAGTAATGACGTTTTCATTCGTTGGCAGACCTAGGGGCGGAGCCTAAATGCAAAATCCATGTTTCCGTACATATATTTACCATTTTAAACGTGTTTTAAGTGTCTGAGAATAAAAACAAAATCATACTCAAACGATACTCAAAAACATGTTCTTAATTTATTGTAAAGAAATGAGTATTTTGCAGTTAAGCTCCGCCCCCTTGGTTCACGGCGAATAAAAAAAAATCATCACAATAGAGACAGGGCGGGTGGGCGGGGCTGATATTTTGCCTTTTTGTTTTAATATGTGTAGACTTCTTTTCACAACATGAAACTTAAAACATGTTTAAAATGGAAAATTTGTATAAGGAAACATCGATTTGGCAATTAGGTTCCGCCCCATAATTCTGTGCAAATTATTAAGAAAAAAAGGCAAAATATAAGCCCCGCCCACCCAGCCTGTCTCAATTCTGATGATTTTTTTTTATTCGTCGAGAGCCAAAAGCGGGAAATTTAACTGCAAAATCCTTATTATTTCTCAACAAGAAAGGATACAACAAATTACAATTGAGATGGGGTGGGTGGGCGGGGTTAATATTTTGCCTTTGTTTTTAACATACGTAGTATTCTTTTTTTTCACGATACTCAAAAACTTGTTTTTAATTTTTTGTAAAGAAATAGGTATTTTCCAGGTAACCTCCGCCCTCTTGGTTCACAGCGAATAAAAAAAAATCATCACAATTGAGACAGGGTGGGTGGGCGGGCTTACACTATAATTTTTTGTTTTAATATGTGTAAACTTCTTTTCGCAACAGGAAACTAAAAATTTAAGATGGAAAATTTGTATAAGAAAATATCGATTTTACAATTAGGCTCCGCCTCATAATTGCAAAATCCATACTTCCTTGCAAAAATGTACCATTTTAACCATGTTCTAAGTTTCTTGTTCTGAAAAGATTGCTATGTATATTAAGAAAAAAAGGCAAAATATAAGCCCCGCCCACCCACCCTATCTCAATTCTGATGATTTTTTTATGCGTCGTAAGCCGAGGGGCGGAGCTTAATTGCAAAATCCGTATTTTTCTACGAGAAATAACCATATGAAACATGTTTTTAAGTAATCGTGTTATACAAAGAAAACTAAATGTATTAATTATAAAAGAAAACCAAATGAGAAGCCCCACCCATCTCGATCTCAATCGTGTTGAATTTTTCATTCGTTGTCAGACCGTGGGGCGGAGCCTAATTGCAAAATCCATATTTCCGTACATAAATTTACCATTTTAAACGTGTTTTACGCTTCTAAGGATACAACAAATCATTACAATTGAGAAGGGGTGGGCGGGCGGGGTTAATATTTTGCCTTTGTTTCTTAATATACGTAGTATTCTTTGAATAATACGATACTCAAAAACTTGTTTTTAATTTCTTGTACAGAAATAGGAATTTTGCAGGTAAGCTCCGCCCTCTTGGTTCACGGCGAATAAAAAAATCGTCACAATTGAGACAGGGTGGGTGGGCGGGCTTACATTTTGTCTTTTTGTTTTAATATGTGTAGACTTCTTTTCACAACATGAAACTTAAAGCATGTTTGAAATGGAAAATTTGTATAAGGAGATATCGATTCTACTTTTAGGCTCTGCCCCCTAATTACAAACTCCGTGCAAATGTTGCAGTTAAACCATGATCAGGTTGTTTGTTTGTGAAAAGATGGCTATGTATATTAAAAAACATAAGGCAAAATATATGCCCCGCCCACCCGCCCTATCTCAATTCTGATGATCTTTTTTATTTGTTGTAAGCCGAGGGGTAGAGCTTATCTGCAAAATCCTTATTTCCCTACAAAAATTTACCACTTTAAACGTGTTTTACGTGTCTAAGAATAAAAAAAATGAACGCAATTGAGACGAGGTGGGTGGGCGGGGTTAATAGTTTGATTTTTTTTTTAATAAATAGTATTCTTTGAATAACACCATACTCAAAAACATGTTTTTAATTTCTTGAAATAAGTATTTTTCAGTTAACGGCGAATAAAAAAAATCATCACAATTGAGACAGGGCGGGTGGGCGGGCTGACATTTTGCTTTTTTGTTTTTATATGTGAAGACTTCTTTTCACAACATGAAACTTAAAACATGTTTAAAATGGAAAATCTGTATAAGAAAATATCGATTTTACAATTAGGTTCCGCCGCATAATTTCAAAGTTCTAAGGTTCTTGTTGTGAAATGATGGCTATGAATATTAAGAAAAAAAGGCAAAATGTAAGCCCCGCCCACCCGCCCTCTCTTAATTCTTATGATTTTTTTTATTCGTCGTAAGCCGAGGGGCGGAGCTTAATTGTAAAATCCTTACTTTTCTACGAGAAGTTAGCTTGTAAAATATGTTCTTCAGCGCTCGTGTTATACAAAAAAAACTTAATGTATTAATTAAAATCCATCCGTCTCGACCTCAATCGTGATGAATTTTTCATTCGTTGTCAGCCCGTGGACGGTAGTAGAAGACTACTAAGAAAAAGGGACAAAATCTAAGCCCTTGTAGTTATAATACTTACTCTATTTTTTGCTAAACACCATAGAAGACCCTTCAAGATTATACACACAAACCGTAGCCGGCTCGATCCACATTGGAACTTGTATAGTGTGTTGCATACCTTAATAATTTCACAACTTTAATTCTTCTCTCTACACGTTCTTTTAATAAACAAACTTCCAATTTTATGACCCCAAACACCATATTTATGTTTTGTGGACACCAAAAACCAAATTTTTGATTAACACATAAATGTCTCAGAGGAAAAACATTTATTTTCATCAGTAATTACATTCTATGAAAGCCACTCTGAAGCGTTTCCAAGCAATTTGTGCAGTTGTTGCGTGCACCCGAATTTCCTCTCTGTCAATGTCCGTACTTATCATTAACGAAGATTAAAAAAAAATCACAATGTAAAGTTCGTTTTTAGCCCCATTTGTTTAATGAAAGCGCAAAACCCATACCCATCTCCCCTAAACAACCCCTTTGTACTTAACCGGATTAAAATCCATACCATCCAAATCTCGTTTGTCAATCACTCCTGTCACAACCATGGAAGACGGTAAGTTGAATTAATAACGGGGTCACAGTGCAATCCCTGCCTCGCATTATCAATAACGTAATAAGATTCGAATTTTCCGTCACGCCAACAATCCCGGGCACGCGATTCTTGGAATTCCCTCATTCCATTCCCAGCTCGCCCAGTTGGTTCAACAAGTTAATTGTTATGATCGCGCCCGCGACGAATTCCCCAGATTTCGAGTACGTGGTGGAGCGAAAGCCGCCCCAAGCCATCTGCTTCGGCTCCAGGCTGCCCCGAAACACCAACCTCATCGGCAAAGGGTTGTCCGGTTACCAGAAAATGCAAGCCATGGAGCTGTTCCCCAACATCGGGCCCGGCCAGTACAACACCCAGAAGTACAAGACGGCGATGGAGAGGGTGTTCCGGAAGGTGGCGGGCAAGGGCGCGGGGGCGCTGGCCAGCAACGAGCCCAGGTTCAGGGACAAGATTTACATGCGGACGCCGTCGCCGACGAGGTACAACGTGGCGGCGCCGTGGGGGCCCCAAAGCGCGGGGAAGGCGCCGTTCGGGAGCAAGTCCAGGAGGGTGACGATGGCGGGGGATAAGCTACCAGGGTAAAAGTTGAAACCGCTTGGAACCCGACTGTCTTTATTTTTTTTAGTCCCGGGACGTACAATATAGCTACGAAGAAGTGTCGAAGGACGCGGTTCATGTACAATTTTGGGCACCCGACCATGATACCCTCGATCGAAATCGTGTGTGTGAGTAGAGCCACGGACACTTGTGTCAAGTGCGAGCAGATCTGCGCTGGTGACTACTGGCACAAAGATCACGCCATTTTCTTGTGCCACTTGTGCTGGGAAGAGGAGAAGCGCGGCCGCGAGCTCTACAACGAGAAAGAACTCAACACTTTCGAGGTACTAATTTTACTCAGGTTGTAAGCGGGATTTATAAACTTGCTGTTGACGTTGACATAAGTATGGTAAATTTTTGATCAAAATGTACTTGCCCATCCCCCCTAAAAAATTGATTACGTCACCACTAATATTGCTGAATAAATCTTATACAAAGTGTGTAAAATATGATCAGTCTATGCTTGTAATTTATCATTTCATTCATATCTTTTAGATTTGCTTATACAGGGTGACTCAAAAAAATTAATCAATGCGTGAAGAAATGCAAAACTGAATACTTTGAAATTTTGCAGACGCTTTAAAGTTATTGTAAGCATGATAAATTGTTAATCAAAATATATGTTTATTCCCCCACGAAATTGATAACGTCATCTCATAATTTTGTCGTGAGCCAAGAAGGCGGAGCTTAACTGCAAAAACATGTTTTTGAGTACCGTATTGTTCAAAGAATACTATGTATATCAAGAAAAAAATAAAGCCAAGGATTAGACACCACCCATACCCGCCCCGATCTCAATTCTCAACTGTGATGGATTTTTCATTGGTTGACAGATCAAGGGGCGGGGCTTAATTGCAAAATCCATATTTCCTTACAACAATTTACCATTTTAAACGTGTTTTAACTTTCTAAGAATAAAAAAAATCATCACAATAGAGATGGGGTGGGTGGGCGGGGTATATTTTGCCTTTGTTTCTTATTATATCTAGTATTCTTTGAAATATCACGATACTCAAAAATATGCTTTTAATTTCTTGTAAAGAAATAAGTATATTGCAGTTAAGCTTTGCCCCCTTTGTTCACGGCGAATAAAAAAAATCATCACAATTGCGATGGGGTGAGTGGGCGGGGTTTATATTTTCCTTTGTTTCTTAATATGCACAGTATTCTTTGAATAACACGATACTCAAAAACATGTTTATAATTTTTTGTAAAGAAACAAGTATTTTGCAGTTAAGCTCCGCCCTCTTGGTTCACAGTGAATAAAAGAAATCATCACAATTGAGATAGGGTGGGTGGGCGGGCGGACATTTTGCCTTTTTGTTTTAATATGTGTAGACTTGTCATTATAAACTCCGTTGCCGAGTTGCCGTTGATAGTAACTTTGATGTTTAACTTTAGCCATATTTAAAGTGGTTGTAGAAGAAGTGGAGGATTTAAGTTGATTACTACAAAAATGTATCATTTTAGACATGTTTTAATTGCTTGTTGCCGAAATAAGTCTACACATATTAAGAAAAAAAAAGGCAAAATGTACCCCCGCCCACCCACCCTATCTCAAATGGGATTATTTTTTTTATTCGTCGTGAGTTAAGAAGGATTTACCATTTCCTAGAAGAATAGGTCATTTGTCAAAATGAGACTGATTTTGGCAAATGATTTATTCTTCTAAGAAAATAAAGGCTGTGTGGGTGAGACTAGTACTTGCTAAAAATTAAAAAATTAAAAAATGGCGAACTGAAAACCCGGAAAATTGTACAACTGTATAATAGAAAATCAAAAACTGGAATATCGAAAAATTGAACAAAAAAAAAAAACAAATCTCATAAAATCGAATTCGAAATTCCAGTTTCCAATTTTTTTTTTTTGGATTTTTCAACTTTTGAATATCTCATTTGATAATTTGTTTGGCAGTTTTGCTGTTTTTAATTCCAATCTTTTGATTTTTCAAGTTATAACTTTACAATTTTGGAATTTTTTGATTTTTAATTTTTCAAGTTCTCAAGTTAAAATTTGATTTTCGGACTATACAGTTTTACAATTTTCCAATTTCTCATTTATTCGATTTTTCAATTTGTCATTTTTTAATTTTTTAATTTTTTATTGTTAGCATGTACTAGCCCCACCTACCCAGTCGTTATTTTCTTAGAAGAATAAATCATTTGCCAATATCAGTTTCTTCTAAGAAAGGGTACTAAGCCCACCCACCCTTTATTTTCTTTGAAGCTTGGGTCAACTGCCAAAATCAGTCTTATCTTGACACGTACTAACCCCGCCAACCCACCCTTATTTTCTTAGAGGATATGTGATGTTTTAAGTTTTTTGTTCTGAAAAGACGACTACGTAGTATATTTAGGAAAAAAAAAGATGTGCCCCGCCCACCCGCCCTATCTCAATTGTGATGATTTTTTATATTCATCGTTAGCCCAGAGGGCGGAGCTTAACTGCAAAATCCTTATTTCTCTACGAGAAATTTAAAACATTTTTTTGGGTATAGTGTTGTTCAAAGAATACTGTGTTATATTAAGAAAAATAAAGTGAAAGATTAGGCCCCACCCGTACCCGCCCCGGTCCCAATTCTCAATTGTGATAAATTTTTCATTCGTTTTCAGATCGAGAGGCGGGGCTTAATTGCAAGATCCATATTTCTCTCGAAGAATTTACCATTTTAAACACGTTTTAAGTTTCTTGTTCTGAAAAAACGACTACGTATATGAAGAAAAAAAGACAAAATATAAGCCCCGCCCACCCGCCCTATCTCAATTGGAATGATTTTTTTTAATCGTCAAGAGCCAAAGTAGCGGAATTTAATTGCCAAATTCTCATTATTTCTCTACAAGAAATTACCATGTAAGACATGAGACTAAGCCTCACCCAAACCTGCCCTGACCGAAATAGTAATGAAGTTTTCATTATTTTGCGGACATAGGGGCGGAGCCTAATTGCAAAATCCACATTTCCATAAAAAAAGTACCATTTTAAACGTGTTTTAAGTTTCTAAGAATGAAAATAATCATCACAATTGAGATGGGGTGGGTGGGCGGGGTTATATTTTGCTTTGTTTTCTCAATATACATAGTATTCTTTGAACAACACGATGCTCAAAAACATGTTTTTAATTTCTTATGAAGAAATAAGTATTTTGCAGTTAAGCTCCGCCCCCTTAATTCATGGCGAATAAAAAAGACCATTACAATTGCGATGGGGTGGGTGGGTGGGGTTTATATTTTCCTTTGTTTCTTAATATGCACAGTATTCTATGAATAACACGATACTCAAAAACATGTTTTTAATTTCTTGTAAAGAAGTATTTTGCAATTAAGCTCCGCCCCCTTTGTTCACGGCGAATAAAAAAAATCATCACAATTGCGATGGGGTGGGTGGGCGGGCTAACATTTTGCCTTTTTGTTTTAATATGTGCACACTTATCATTTATAAACTCAGTTTCCAAGCTGCCGTTGCTGGTAACTCTGATGTTCAACTTTTGCCATATTTAAAGGGGTTGTAGAAGAAAAGTGGAGGATTTAAATTGATTACTACAAAAATTTACCATGTTATAAGTTTCTTGTTGTCGAAATAAGTCTACATATATTAAGAAAAAAAGGCAAAATTTAGCCCCGCCCACCCACCCCATCTCAATTGTGATCATTTTTTTTTATTCATCGTGAGTTAAGAAGACGCAGCTTAACTGCAAAATCCTTATTTCTCTATGAGAAATTAAAATCATTTTTTTGAGTATCGTGTTGTTTATAGAATACTAGGTATATTAATAAAAAAATTAAGCCAAAGATTAGGACACACCCATACCGGTCCCGATCTTAATTCTCAATTGTGATAAATTTTTCATTCGTTGTCAAATCGAGAGGCGGGGCTTAATTGTAAGATCCATATTTGTTTAGAAGGATTTACCATTTTAAACATGTTTTAAGTTTTTTGTTCTGAAAAGACGACTACGTAGTATATTTAGGGAAAAAAAATGTGCCCCGCCCACCAATTGTGATGATTTTTTATATTCATCGTTAGCCCAGAGGGCGGAGCTTAACTGCAAAATCCTTATTTTTCTATGACAAATTAAAAACATTTTTTTGAGTATCGTGCCATTCAAAGAATACTGTGTTTTGTTTAAGAAAAATAAAGTGAAAGATTAAGCCCCACCCATACCCGCCCCGATCCCAATTCTCAATTGTGATAAATTTTTCATTCGTTTTCAGATCGAAAGGCGGGGCTTAATTGTAAGATCCATTTGTCTAGAAGAATTTACCATTTTAAAGATGTTTCGAGTTTCTTGTGCTGAAAAAACGACAACGTAGTATATTTAAGGAAAAAAAAATGTGCCCCGCCCACCCGCCCTATCCCAATTGTGATGATTTTTTCTATTCGTCGTGAGCCAATAAGGCAGAGCTTAACTGCAAAATCCTTATTTCTCTACGAAAAATTAAAAACATTTTTTTGAGTATCATTATTCAAAGAATACTATGTATATTAAGAAAAATAAAGTCAAAGATTAGGCCCCACTCATATCCGTCCCGAGCTTAATTCTCAATTGTGATGAATTTTTCATTCGTTATCAGATAGAGAGGCGGGGCTTAATTGCAAGATCCATATTTGTCTAGAAGGTTTTACCATTTTAAACATGTTTTAAGTTTTTTTGTTCTGAAAAGACGACTACGAAGTATATTTAGGGAAAAAAAATGTACCCCGCCCACCCGCCCTATCTCAATTGTAATGATTTTTTTTATTCATCGTGCGTTAAGAGGGCGGAGCTTAACTGCAAAATCCTTATTTCGCTATGACAAATTAAAAACATTTTTTTGAGTGTCGTGTTGTTCAAAGAATACTGTGTTATATTAAGAAAAATAAAGCCACCTACACCCGCCCCGATCTAGATTCTCAATTGTGATAAATTTTTCATTGGTTTTCAGATCGGGAGGCGGGGCTTAATTGCAAAATCCATATTTGTCTAGACGAATTTCCCATTTCAAACATGTTTTCAAGTTTCTTGTTCAGAAAAAACGCCTACGTATATTAAGAAAAAAACACAAAATATAAGCCCCGCCCACCCCCCTATCCCAATTGCGACGATTTTTTTTTAATCGTCAAGAGCCAAAGCAGCGGAATTTAATTGCCAAATCCTTATTATTTCTCTACAAGAAATTACTATGTAAGACATGAGATTAAGCCCCACCCATACCTGCCCTGACCGAAATAGTAATGAAGTTTTCATTATTTGGCGGACGTGGGGGCGGAGCCTAATTGCAAAAGCCATATTTCGATACTCAAAAACATGTTTTTAATTTCTTATGAAGAAGTAAGTATTTTCCAGTTAAGCTCTGCCCTCTTGGTTCACAGTGAATAAAAAAAATCATCACAATTGCGATGGGGTGGGTGGGCGGGTTTTATATTTTCCTTTGTTTCTTACTATACACAGTATTCTTTCAATAACACGATTGTCAAAAACATGTATTTAATTTCTTGTAAAGAAATAAGTATTTGGCAGTTAAGATCCGCTCTCTTGATTCACGGCAAAAAAAAATCATCACAATCGAGACAGGGCGGGTGGGCGGGCTTACATTTTGCCTTTTTGTTTAATGTGTATATTTCTTTTCATAACATCAGACTTAAAACATGTTTAAAATGGAAAATTTGTATAAGGAAATATCTATTTGCAATTATTCCCCGCCCCATAATTGTAAAATCCATATTTCCTTGCAAAAATGTACTATTTAGTTTCTTGTTGTGAAAAAATATCTCTGTATGTTAAGAAAAAAAAAAGAGGCAAAATATAAGCCCCGCCCACCCACCCTATCTCAATTCTGATGATTTTTTTTTATTCGTCGTTAAGCCGAGGGTCGGAGCTCAATTATAAAATCTTTACTTTTCTACGAGAAATTACCATGTGAAATGTGTTTGTTTTTAAGTAATCGTATTCTACAAAAAAAAAACTAATAAATGTAATTAAAATGGAGAAGCCCCACCCATCCGTCTCGATCTCAATTATGATGAATTTTTCATTCGCTGTCTGACCGAAGGGCGGAGTTTAATTGTAAAATCAATACTTTCCTGCAAAAATGTAAGCCCTTGTAGTTATAATACCTAATCTGTTTTTGAGACAAATAGCAACAAATCTTGTTCATTTATCGAGAACTATGTTTAACAATGCATAAGTACTGACAGGAAGCAACAGTGAAAAAAATGATGGCAGCGATTTAGAATATGAGGGTGATTAATAAATGGCTTAATATCAAAATTTAATTTTTGCGGAATTAGTGCTATTAACCAGAAAACGTTGGCAGCACTGCACACTACCGCAATTTGATTGGTTGAAAACCCAACGTCAACAACGTCAGCGACAAGTTTATAAATCGACCTATAATTTACTTGTTCTAGAAAATCCGCAACTGCTTCTTCGCCCACGACCACGAAAACACCACCGCCGCCATCCGCCGCCTCCCTCCCTCCAAAATCAACAAGAAACTACGCTTAGAAAATTACTTAGACCTTTATATTAAATGTTAAACGTAAAAATGCACACTAATCACTCGATTTTGTATCACTGACGCTGCCTTCGCCCTCCGACCGTCCTTCGGCCACCGCGCTGGTCATCAAACATCCGAACTTCTGCGCCATCTCCCGACTAAACGAAGCACTAGAGTGTAAATTGGGCCTCGAGCCGCAATCGAGCTCGGTCAAGAGCGCCTCCGTGTCCAGTCGCCCCTCGGAGCAGCCCGACACGTACCGACTCGACGCCTCACCCGACATCAAACTCAGCTTCTCCAGCATCTGATCCAACTTCTGTTTACTCTCAGTCATGTAGTGATCCGTCTGGAGCAACCCCACCTCTTTGTCGTCCTCCAAATTAAAACCGTGACCCTCCTTTTCGAAATCGAGCATGTCGAAGTCGTCCTCGATACACAGAGTGTTGATATCGCGCTCAAACTCGTCGGCGACGTCGTCGTTGGAAGTGTCCGACTCGTCGTTGGTCACCTTAGACAGGCGTAACCTTAGGCGCTGAGTGATTTCGTCGAGTTCGGTGAATTTGCGCTTGAGGGCGCGGCCGAGCAGCTCGCCGGGCTCGAATGGGGGCTCTGGGGGCTGCACAGGCGCGCTTGACTCCTCCGGGGTTTTAGGACAGTGATACTTGAGTACGTTTTCAGAGGGAGTCACGTGGATCTACAACAACAATGAAGTTCGTATGGTTATTAAATAATAATAATAATGATAAGAATAGTTACATTAATTTGTCCGTTGCACTTCTTCGTTAAGTCGTTGATATTGAACCACCCCTGCACACTTGGCAACCCCGCCGCCAGCACCGTCAAATCAACGGCGGCGAAGCCGATCACATGATCCGCCTGCATGTTAGGTGTCATCGTCGTATTGGTGGATTTGCGCCACACCTTAAACACTAGAAACTTCTGATTCTGAAACAAACCAATCAGTCACGACGCGTCGCAGTGTTGCCAACTCACGTCCGTCAAATACTCTACAGGTAAAGTTACATCACATTTGAACTCCCACTTCGGGGTCGTACTTTTCGGTACTATAGGTGTGATTTTTAGGTCGCCGGTGTGGTCTTCGAACGTCACGTAGGTGCTCGGTAGGATGTCTTCGTGTTTGGCGTTTCTGCCCTTCGAACGTTTCGATTTACATTTTCGCCGGCTTGGTAGATGAAGGGCGCTGTTTATGACCACCTGAGCCCTAAACGAGTCCTTGTCTTTGGGGGTTTCGCTCGAAAGCGCTTTCTGTAATGAGTCGAGTAGATCCGAAGTGCTGCGAATCTCGGGACCGGTGTTTGTACCCGACTCGACGGTGCGGTTCTTCTGGGCTACCATTTGCTCCAGGAACGATTCGATGTCTTTTTTGGGTTCCATGATCGACTGGGTTGCTACGTCGACGGTTTTCGGGACTAGAGTGACTTTAGCTTTGACCGTGTTGGTTTTGAAACCTCGCTCGGTTTCAAGGTTGTCGATTTGCTCCTTCGTGCCTAACGCGACCAAGAATTGAGCTTGTCCGACCACTTCGCCGTCGTTGGGGTTGTACACGGTCTCCCAGCCATCGGTACCAACGACTGGAAGCTACCACAAAATTACCCTGGTACCACAATACCACAGACCATTAAACAAATAGGAAGACAGTTCATTGCCATTGAATCGTATAGTCTAGGAAGCGACACTAGCGCTGCGCGAGCGGCTGGAGCAAACACTCATTCGCTTATACTCGTGTAAATTTCGTAATAGATCGTGTTTACTGTCAACAAATATCTCCTTTAACGTCATTCAAATTCAAACGCCAAATTATAATTTTTTCAAAAGGTTTTCAGTAGTAAGTTTGGTGGCTATTATATCTGCTATTTTTAAGTCATATTAATATAGTTTTACTTGCTTCAGATACAACGGAAATGAAAATTATTAATAAATATCGATGCAAAGTTCCAAATTGTCCGTCAGTATACGCAACAGGAATCCACAAGAACAAAAATAAACATTTTTTTATTTTTCCTAAATCTCCAGTTCAAAAACAAAAGTGGATAGATACCATTAATGCCTCCTGCACAGAAAAAATTGTTGTTAATTGTAAAAAAGCTTACATTTGTGAAGATCATTTCAGTAAAAATTACTTTACGAGCACCGCACAAACGAACCTTCATAAATACGCAATTCCCACTATTTTTAAGGACAGTAGTCAAGCTGTGATTAATACTAATGGTGATGGGTATTCCAGTAAAAGTGAACAAAAAAATTATAAAATTTTTATTTTTTTAGTCGGAACTATTCCGGAATCTGAGTATGATGGTAGCGTAAATTCACAAAGACGCAAACGACATTGTGATACTCTCACGACAATATCACATACTCCGAAAAAAAGAAAATATTCACCCAGTGTTTTGAAAAAGGTAGGATGCAAAAGAGTGGACGACTTAACTCCTAGAGAGCAAACTTTATTTAGAATAACAAAACGCCAGAAACAGGCAATAAACAGATTAAATTTAAAATTATGTAAATAAAAAAAAAACTTGGATCTTCTAAAACGTGCTCCCCAAAATCATCTAATTAACATTTTACAAGAAAATTGCAATTCTGTAAGTGCAAGCTTCATAAAATCCCAATTTGATAACATGAAAAAAAAATTCCTAGATGGTCAACTGAAAATAAAATATTTGCCTTGGCTATGTACAAAAGAGGTCCAAAATGTTATCGCTTTTTAAAACATTTTTTCAGACTTCCGTCAAAAACAACTTTGTACAAATTTTTGAAAAATATACCTTTTGAATGTGGCGTGAATGACGAACTATTTGATAAGTTAAAAATGAGAATTGAGAAACTGAAACCAAGAGATCGATTATGCAAGCTTATGTTTGATGAAGTGTCTTTATCTACAAATTTAACCTATTCGAGATCTACTGACAAAATTATTGGTTTTGAGGATTTGGGATCTTTAGGACGAAATAAAAATTATGCTAACCATGCGTTAGTATTTATGATACAAGGTATTAGTTCCGGATGGAAACAACCAATAGCGTACTATTTTGTTAAGGACTCTATTAAAAGTATAAAATTAAAACTAATAATTAAAGAAATTATTAGCAAACTTAATATGGCCGGCGCAAAAGTCATATGCACCGTTTGTGATCAGGCCAGTTCGAATGTAAAGGCTCTACGTTTGTTAAAAGAAGAATCAAATGTAGAGTATAAGGAACCATACTTTAAGGTAAATTCAAAAAAAATTGTATGTTTATATGATAGTCCCCATTTATTGAAATCATTAAGAAATGCTCTCCTTAAATATACGATTTATTATGATGAAATCAAGAAAGCTAAATTTATGTATTTGAGACAAGCTTATCAATTTGATAGTACTCGAAGATTTCAAACTTTGCATAAAATCCGAGAACCCTTTCTTTACGTGAACAGATATAGATTAGTAAAGATGAAAGTGTCAATTGCAGCAAAAACACTTAGTGCCAGTATGGCAGCTGCACTTGAAACTCTAATAGATTCAAAAGAAAATATTCCTTCAGAAGCAATCGAAACGGCTTTCTTTGTAAAAGACGCAAATGATTTATTCGACAGTTTCAACTCCACTGGTATTAATATGCGTAACAACCACTGCAATCCAAAGCTAAGATGTGCTTTAACAAAGAAATCCGGTCATTTTGATTTTTGGAATAAAATGGAAAAAAAATCGAAAGTTGGAAATTTTATGACGAAGTACGTGGTCAATTCAAAACAACTATGCCCTTTAAAGAAGGTTGGTTAAATAACATTCGTGGAATTAGACTTCTTTGGCAGATGTGTGAAAAAAATTAATTCAAATTTTTGCGAACAAGAATGTTGAAAATTTATTTTCAGTGATACGACAATACGGTTCAGGAAATAGTAATCCATCGTGTTTTCAATTTATATCGGCGTTAAAAACAAGTATTTTGAATAATTTGATAGCATATCAAGCATATGGTAAGAATTGTGAAGAAGATGTAGGAAAACTTCTCGATAATCTTAGAATATTTTTATCCTCGTCATCAAAACCAACAAATTTTCAGTTTACAGAAAATATCAATGAGTTGGTAAATTTAGAAAATTCTAGCTCAACTAATAGAGCTGCATTTAAAGATTTATATGATCTTCAGGCTATTACATATGTTTGTGGCTTTTTAATAAAAAATTAAAAGCTATCACATGTAAAGACTGTAAAAATTGTATAATTGCACAAAAAACCGAAGAACATCATATTTTCACTCTTTACAAAGAACAGGATCAAAAATTAAGGTTGAAATATGCTACAAAAGAATTTGTAACATGCTTAGCTGAGATTTACGATACCATAGTCTTCTTTTTAGATAATTTTGGAGAAGTTCCAAATATTGCAAGAAATTTAAAAGAACATATAACAGCAACAATTAACTTTACTTGGATTAACTGTGACATTCATATTGCTGATTTAAGAACGGAAATTATTAATTTGGCAGTGCGTCTAATAATAAATAAAAAATTGACCAATCTGCAAAAACAATTTGAAGTACATAATCGTAGAAGAATTAATAATTCAAATAGGTTTTAAAATTAACACCTACCCGTAGTTTCAAGAGTTTTTTTTAAGCAGTTTGTAATTAGATTATTTTTTTTAGGTATTTCGAAATGAAATTGTTTTTCTTTGAGAGTTGTTTTGTAATTTTGTCATTGTTATCAAATATATGTTTTTCATTACTGAATTTAGTTTCATTTTTATAGAATTAAAATTGTAATTAAAAATAAAATTACTACTGTAGTAATTATAATCTAGTAATCAGTGGATTTAATTCATGCAGGAGCTCGAGCAGCGCTGTAATCGCCACATTAAATCGTAGTGGTTTTTGAACGTCTTTCTATTTGCTTAATGGTCTGTGCACAATACCAACCCGTACCTTTCGCTCCGACAAGTACCTAACAATAATCGGGTTTCTGTACGCCAAGTAGAACTGGTGCAAAGGAAGCTTGGATAACCCGATCAAAAAATCCTTCTGACCTTTTTCAAAAAACTCCACTACCATGAAATTCTCACGCAAGGTTAAGAGAAGTTCGTCTTCACATACTAGCGGGAATTGCTACAAGTTCACCGGTAGAAATAAAACAAAAATAAATTAGAACAAACCTGGGAAAAATTATATATGGGGTTGGAATCAAACGCCACCAATTTACTAGTGCAAACGTCATCAGACGCAAACATCTGACACGTCACGTACGAATTCAACGCTTCTCGTGAGAACTGAGCTTCAGATACGTAGACGAAACCGAACAGAACCGGTTTTTGAGGCCGCAACGTATCAGGAACCGGTTCCACGACGTGCAGAACCGGTTCCGGTTTTGATATGATTTGAGGTTTTGGATAAACCGGCTGCGGCTTTGATATGAATTGTTCAGATTTTGATATGAACTGGTTTCTGTGCGGTTGTCGGTTAGATTGTGCTAGTTCGGTTTTAGAAGGGACTAGTTTGAGCTTAGGAACGAAGTGCTCAAATTTCGGTTTTTGAGTATTTTTTTGGACTGCAGTTTTTTCGTTGTTGTTGTTGTTTGTGGTGTAAAAGTCTAGTTTTTCGATAAAGTCCGACTCTGTACTGCTAAGATCGTCGCTTCCTAGGACTATTGAGTTTTCTTTGTTGGTGGTGACGGCGTCTAGAATTAAAATTAGGTTTTTTTTGGTCACACTAGAATTCAGTTGTACCTAAAAATTCCTTCCCGAAGTAGAGGCGCCCACACCCCAATTGTATCGACACTTTCAAGCCCCCCACGGTAATCGGGGCTTTGTCGCTCAACCTAATCGTGAGTTCTTGATTACAAACGAAATTTTTACTCACTTCAAAGGAACTAAAACTGAACTTAGCAACCCCCAAAGAAACGGGTTGTTTCTGCTTAAAATTACGAAAACTCAAGCGAAACGTAATTACGGCATCTTCTAACTTAACTTTAGTTAAATTAATATCATGTACTGAGACTTGTTTAAAATTAACAGCTGCAATTTTTAACGTTACTATTTATAACAAGAATTTAAAATATGTAATACCTTGTCCGTGTGTCCTGCGTGAACACAGTCGTACCACGTTAGCGGAATCTAGCCCCGAATCCACCTTAGTTTTGACTTTTTGGTGGTTTTTGACCAGAACCTCTGGAATTTGATACTCTAAAAAAAACGTCTGTCCGACTCCCGCCGCTTTCTCTTTGATTAAACTATCAGCGACTTTCTTATCACCAGCTTGGTTCAGAAAGACACTATTTACGGAAATTTTAACCGAATCCACGAACTTCAAGTGGCTGCTGACCTCGCTCTTGTACCGTTCTTGGATTTTCTGCGTGATTTCGTTACTTTCGCGCTTCAAGTCGCATTTTAAATCCTTCTCTTGATACTCCACACACGTTAAACAATCACACGGTTCCTCGCTCCCATAGGTCCTATCCGTCACCCGACACAGGTCAGCCGCAGACATCGACCGCAGCGTCTCCAGCGTGACAATCTCGTCCTCCCGGGACATCGCGTCCCCTTGGAGGAAAGCCCGAATTTTCTCGTTGCTGTCTTTGGGCAGATCTTCCAGTCGCACCGACTTACTTTCCTGGTAGATGACGTCTTGGTTAAACGGGTCGTTGTTCAAAATCGCCTGCACCATGGCGCTCCGCAGCCGCTGCCCCCGATCCAGAATCTTATCCACCAGCTGGGCGTCGATTTTCCGCGAGTTATAACAATTAAAACACGACATTCCGACCCTTCTTGAGTTTGTATTTTGCACGACTGTCAATCAAGTGTCAGTTGTTGCCAACGCAAACCAAAAACCCTGCTTGACGTCCTGGACGATCGATAGCGAATTGGTGGCGGTTTTGATTAAAAATTCACAAACCCGAATGATTTTTCGCGTTAATTGCGGAAAAGTGAAAGGGGGAGATACTCACCGGGGTTGAAGTCCGTCAAGTTTCGCCAGAAAAAGCCGGAGATCGGACACCCCCACTCGCATGCTGTGTAAATAACACGACTGCCAACATGGCCCGAACAAATTATTCACGATTTAAAAAAAAAAGATTTTGGTTGATTTTGCGGTTTTGTTGTTGTATTTTCAATGTCTGGGGTTTGGTAAAATAAATGGGGGTACAACGTCGGAATAAAAAAAAAAATAATGACTAGTGGGATGCTAAAAACTTGAGGCACAGGGGCGGGCTAGCCCTTTCGACCGACTCGACTTTTAGAGCCCGGTGTCAGTACAAACAATTAAAGTGGTTTTATTGACACCTTTTATAATTATAGATTTCTATTTTGAGTCTTCAGCGGCTTGAACAATGCCAAAACCGGGATAATAAGTATTCGTCAAAATGGCGTCTTAGGCCATCTTGTCCACAACAGATGTAGGTACGGGGCGTGGATTTCGCGTCAGCCGGGCCTGGCGCGCCTCTCCAGAGGTCAATTGCTCGTGCCTCCGGCTGCGAAGACAAAGATGCCACTATGCACGTTGTCGTAGGGGAGCGTGGGGCGAAGAGGGTGCAGCACGCTTTGTTTTGAAGAAGTAACAGTGCAGAGTTGGTGTCCAGACCATATCGATATCTCCGACAATCGGTAAGTGCTTTAATAATTGAACACCTTCCGGATCCGGAAAGAACAGAAGGGTGAATTTCGGTCAACGGCAGGATGCGTCGGGGCTGTGAGCGCATATCCGTCAGGGTGTATTAAAAAATCGATATTCGGGCTGACTACAATAGAACAAATGCTCAGTGCCGGCCTTTTAGCGTCGAAAATGCGTCGTTTTACAGATGATGAGTGATAAAACCGAAGAGAACATCGAGAAGAGCGACGACAAGAAGGACATCGAGATGGAAGAGAGAGAGAAGATGTTAAATGCCGAGAACAAGGCGCTGGAGAAGGTGGAAGAAAGCGGGGAAGAGAAGAAAGTGAAGAGCGACATCAAGGAGGGGATGGAGGTGAAGCCGAAGAAGATCCCGATCGGGGGCATACAGATGCCGGGGTTCTTCACGAGGAGCAAGTCTAAGGAGAAGTGCAAAGTAAGAATAGCGCACATATGGGGAACAAAGGGATAATTAAACGGGGATTAAGTCGCCAGCGACACGTTTCGGGCTTTATTGACTCTTCATCGGGACGATTTTATTATAGGATTTTTATGTTGTTCAAATTTTTTATTTAGTTCAGAAAATTGGTGAATTTAAAAAGTCGTTATGACGCTAACCTTGATACCGAAACCCTACAACACTCTGTGCTATGTTTAATTTCCGGGGGTTATTTTATTGCCAACACAGGTACACTTGTAAAATTTCTAAAATTAATTTTGAGAATAATTTTCGTGGTAATTGTCGGAGTAATTCAGTGACCTGTAAAACGGGTCTTAATAATTGAGAACAATTTTAGATTTAGAACCCAATCAGCCATATTTAAAAAAATGTTACCTAGATTTTTTGAAAAAATTAAAAACAATTATTTTGCGAACTTTCATTTGTGGTAACTTCTATACATTAAAATGTGTATGTGTTTTGATACTCTTTTTTTTTGTGATTCTCTACGACATCCAATTTTTTTAATGACACTATATTTTTTTAGAGATTCTTGTAGAGCTTGTTTTTTAATTCACTAACGTACTCGTATCATACTTTAACCACCCATACTTCGTCACTGTCTATGATTCGAACGCATTTTTTTACGAACGCACTCTTTGTTAAATTTCTTATATTTGGTCTGTAATACGCTTGTCATTCACCTATGACGAAAAACTGATTAGTAAATAATTACTTCACAAATATGAATGCATGAAGACTGTGCCTATATTTGTAGCGACTTTTCCCATTTGAAAGTATTCCGATCATCATTATTTCAGCAAGGACATGTATGTCAATTCCGACACGTTTTAAGTTTCTTGTTGTGAAAAGATGGCTATGTACTTTAAGAAAAAAAAAAGTAAAATATCAATTACAAATGACCAAGTGGGTTCTATATACATCCATTAGTAAAGACAGGTGTCTCAACTATTTAATGGGGGAAAATTACCCCTTACCATCGAAAATATTCAGTTTTTTTTCGAACAGGATTTTCAGATGACGTCATCAGTGTTTTGGAGGGGTAGCAAATCAATTTATTTGAACGTATTATTTTAAAAATGCTAATTTATGGACACCCCTTTTGCAATCCAGGACGACGACCAAGAGGTGGAGGGCTCCGAGCTGATCGAAACCAAAGCCGCCTCCGAGGATGTGCCCCCTCAGACGCGCATTAAGCTCCCCAACCCCTTCCGCAAATCCAAAATCCTGGGCGAAGAAGACAGCGACAAACCCCCTGAAACCAAAGAGAAGAAGAAGCTCCTGGACACGATCCGCCTCCCCCTGGTGTCAGTTTTCCCCAGAAAGAAGAAAGACGACCAGAAACTGGAGAGCCAGACCGCGCAGGCTGGTCTAGCCTCCATGGAAACTCTAGACGACAAAAGTACGGACGATAAGGGTAACGACGAAATGAAGACTGTGAACTTGGACGAGAAAAAAGACTTGGAGGCGCAGGAGGCCGTCGAGGAGACCACCTGGAGGCAGAACCTCAAGACCTACAGGGTGGCCATCAGTGCTGTGCTCGTTTTTGTGTTGATTTTGATCATTGTGGCTGTGGCGATCCCCAGAATGTCCCTGAAGGAGGCGCTGGTCAAGGATGGACGGTTCGTGGAAACCGTGACCAGCTGCGGGAAAGTCGAAGGGTGAGTTTGTAACGAAAAACTTATCAAGTTGTCTCCAAGCCAGAAATAGCTGATGTCGTCATTGCTTAGTTCTGTGTGTAAACAGAATTATTGATGTGGATATTTGTATGACGTGGCTGAGAGCGATGATTTAAAATTAAAAATTAGTTCAATAATGTAGGAAATTGCACCCACATTCCTAATTTTAAATTTCTAACGGTCATGTTTGATTACGACATCGAGTGAGACAAATTGGTGCTAAAATTGTCATCAGTGAGTAATTGGATAACGTCATCGTAAGACTTGCTACTTGTACAGAGTGTTCAAAAATAACTAATTGTTTTTTGAGTTTCTCGTTTTATTGCAAAATTTGAATATTCAAACTTCAATTTGACATTTGTCGTACCAACCAAAAAAAAAAAAAATCCAAATTCACCCCTTTCCAGTCTCGCGAAACCAGCTGAAATTGTCATCCTAGTATGTAATAGGGTGTCCAAAACTCTAAAAATGAACACAACTTTGAATTTCTCGTTTTATTGCAAAAATTTCAACTTCAAATGTTAGAATTTGACATTTGTGTACCAACCGCGCCAAAATTCCCCCAAATCAAATTCCAATTTAGCCCCCTTTTGCAGGCTTGTTGAAGACAGCGCCATCGCCTTCCGCGGCATCCCCTACGCCCGCCCGCCCACCGGCTCGCTGCGCTTCAAGTACGCCCAGCCCCTCAACAACATCGACTTCTGCTGGAACGACACCTTCAAGGCGCACAACGCCAGCGCCCCCTGCTTGCAGATCCACAGCGACGGCGCCGTCTCGGGCACCGAGGACTGCCTCACCCTCGACGTCATCACCCCCTACGTGCGCTACACCGACCCGCTGCCCGTTATCGTGCTCATCGGCGCCGACAGCTTCATCGGCGACTCCCCCGGGAAGCTGCGTCCGTCGGCCCGCTACGCCCGCTCCAAGGACGTGGTGTTCGTGCGGCCTAATTTCCGCCTGGGGGCGCTGGGTTTCCTCGCCCTGGACGTGCTTTCCCAGTCGGATTACCCGCACACGTCGGGTAACTACGGGTTGTCGGATATCCTGGAGGCGCTGAAGTGGGTGCAGTTGAACATCCAGCACTTCGGCGGGGACAAGGAAGCCGTGACGCTGCTGGGGCACCGCGCCGGGGGGACGATGGTGACGGCGCTGGCGACGCTCCCGGACGCCGATAAGTACTTTGCGAGGGCGTGGGCGGCGTCTGGAGGGGCGCTGTTCCCGAATAAAACGCGCCATGAGGCGGAGAACGAAAACGGGACTTTTTTGCAGCTGGTGGACTGCAAGGATGCGGAGTGCTTGAGGGGGCTGGACGCGGAGGAGCTAGTGAGGGCGGTGGAGGACACGTGGAGGAAGCCGCAGCCGGACTTGCCGAGCCCGGACGAGGAACCGGCGAAGAGGCACGAGTGGCTGGTGCTGGACGGGCGGATCTTGAAGGAGTACCCCGCGGAGGCGTGGACCAAAAAAAAAATCAACCTGGTTAGTAGCTTCATTTTCGTAATTATTATTAATTGTTGACTTGTAGGTTGTCGGGAGCACGGCTCACGCCGGCGCTTCCCAGAAGCTCCTCCTCAAGCACAAAGAGTGGACTCCGTTTCTGGTGAAGAAACACATCCAGGACTCTTTTCTTTCGACTAAGAACTTATCAGAAAGTGCCCTAAAGCTCTACCCTCACACCTACAAAGGTCTCAGCGCCATGATCTCGGACATACGCACCGTGTGTCCTTTACTGGCTATCACCAGCAAAATGCAGGAAGTCCCGTTTTATGTGGTGACGCAGCCGCGGGGCGAGCAAGACGTGGCGGACGTCGACTCCGACATGGACGCCATTTTGGGGCGGTACGAGCCGAAGACGCCCGAACAGAAGCGGTTTTTCTCGGCGATGCAGGGGCTGTTTTACCACTACGTGTGGTTCGGGACGGTGGAGCACGGCGAGCTGGGGAAGCGGATCCTGGTGGTGGGTCAGGATATTCTGGCCGACGCCAGGTACTCACACTGCGCCTTTTGGATCAATAAAGGCGTGGTTTTACCGTATGCAGCTCTTGATTAATTTATTGTATGTGTACGACGGCCGCGGGTGGGGGCGGCGGCGGCCGCCCCCACGCGGGGCCGTTTTAGGCCTAATTTTTGATCTCTTATACATCATTGTTGAAAATTTGCCAAATGTACGACACGTTTTTATACTCAAATTAGGTTTAGCAATAAATGTGAAGCTTGGAATGTACTGAGATGAAGTCCAATTTAATCGTAATTACCCGATATTATATTTTGTATTTTATTTATATGAGCTTTTGTAACGATATACACCTTGTACTTGATTCTGTGAATCGATTTTATTTATGAACGAAATGTACCTTTTCTATTTACTTAATAAATGATATTGATTGTACGGCGAGTGTATAGGACGATTTTTCGATTTTTTCACCTAGTTCCAAACAGACTCAAAATTGTCATTTATAAACTCCGTTGCAAAGTTGTTTCTTGTTGTCGAAATAAGTACACATATTAAGAAAAATAGACAAAATGTAGCCCCGCCCACCCACCCCATCTCAATTGTAATGATTTTTTTTATTCGTCGTGAGCCAAGAAGGTGGAGCTTAACTGCAAAATCCTTATTTCTCTACGAGAAATTAAAAATATGTTTTTGAGTATCGTGTCATTCAAGAAATAGTATGTATATTAAGAAAAAAATAAAGCCAAAGATTAGGCGCCACCCATACCCGCCCCGATGTCAATTCTCAATTGTGATGAATTTTTCATTCGTTGTCAGATCGAGGGGCGAGTTTTAATTGCAAGATTCATATTTGTCTAGACGAATTTACCATTTTAAACATGTTTCAAGTTACCTGTTCCGAAAAAACGACTACGTATACTAAGAAAAAAAGGCAAAATATAAACCCCACCCACCCACCCCATCGCAATTGGGATGATTTTTTTTATTGGTCGTGAGCCAAGAAGGCGGAGCTTAACTGCAAAATCCTTATTTCTCTACGAGAAATTAAAAATGTCTTTGAGTATCGTGTTATTTTACTTCTATAAGATACCAAGATCGAAACTGATTAAACTGTAAAACTGAAAAAATGCACAATATAAAACTGACAATTTTAAAATTGAAAATCGAAAAATTCCGAAATAAGAAATTGAAAAATCAAAAACTTGGAAAATTCAAAATCGAAATTTTGAAAAATTAAAAATCTGGAGAAGCGAAACAATGCGATTTCGATAATTAAAAATTAAATAATTGAAGAAACGAAAAATTTAAAAATCCCAGATTTATAAAATTGTGATTAAGATTTATAATTTTGAACAATTAAAAATCAAAAATTTGAAAAATTCTAAAATTAAAAAATTGCATAATTATAAATTTGGAAATTTATTAAATTGCAATGAAAATTTGAAAAAATATTGAATTGAAATATCAAAGATTTCCAAAACCGAAAAATTGCAAAATCGAGAATTTTGTAGTAATAATATAACATTGAAAAATCAAAAAATTGCAAAATTTTGGTATAAATTAAAAAAAAAAACAAAAATTGAAAAATCAGGCTATTAAAAAATGGAAAAATTACAAAATTGGAAAACTGAAAAATTGCAAAATGATGAAATTTAAAAAGGAAAAACTTGGAAAATTTAAATATTTGAAAAAACGCAAAAATTGATTAATTAAAAACCGAGTAACTTAGACATCCAAACATTGTAAAAATGTAAAATCCAAAAATCGAAAAAGTGTAAAATCGAAAAATTGAAAAATCCAGAACTTGAAAAATTAAAATTGAAATTTTGAACAATTAGAAAAAAAATTAAAATTTTATAATTTTATATAACTTAATAAACTGTAAAACTGAGACATGAAAAATCAAATGCAAAATAGAAAACTTATTACATTTAAATGTCGAAAATTTGCGAAATACCGAAATTGACAAAGAAAACTCGAAGAATTGAAAATCGAAATTTTGAAAAATTAAAAATCAAAAATAGGAAAATCGAAACAATTTGGGTCATTTAAAATTAAATTACTGAAAAAACGAATACTTAAAAAACGAAGATTTATAAAACTGAAAATTGAGAAATTGGTTAATTAAAAATCAAATAATTTAGACATCCACAAATTGTAAAAATGTAAATTTGGAAAATAGAACAATTGTAAAATCAAAAAACAGAAAAAGCGGATATGCTTAAAAAAGAAACAAAAAAATTGAAATTTTGAACAATTAAAAATAAAAAAATTGACTGAAAAATTGTTAAATTACAAAATTGAAATATTGGAAAATTGTGAATCAAAAAATTTATTAAACTGTAAATATGAAAAACTGCAAAATTATTACATGAAAAATCGAACAATTGAAAAATGAAAAATCGAAAGATTCCAAAATCGAAAATTGAAAAATCAAGAAATTACATAATTGAATAATTGAAAAATTGCAAAATTATTAAATTGAAAAAACAAAATCTTGGAAATTTTGAAACTGAAGTTTTGAAATATTAAAAATCAAAAATTGAAAAATCCAAATCATGAATATCGGATAATTTAAAAAAAATTAAAAAACGAAGGATTATAAAATTTAAAATTGAAAAATTGATTAATTAAACCAAGTAACTTAGACATCCAAAAATTGTAAAAATGTAAAATTCAAAATCGAATAATTGAAAAACCGGATATCTTTATCGAAGAAAAATTGTAAAATAATTAAACTAAAAAATCCTGAACTTGAAAAATTAAAATTGAAATTTTGAACAATTAAACATCAAAAAATTGAAAAATTGGAGAATTACAAAATTGAAAAATTGGAAAACTGTTAATTCGAAAATTTATTACATTGTAAAAGTGAAAAACTGCAAAATTATTAAATGAAAGATCGAACAATTAAAAAATGAAAAATCGAAAGATTCCAAAATCTACGTCGTATATTAAGAAAAAAATTAAACCAAAGAGTAGGCGCCACCCATACCAACCCCGATCTTAATTCTCAATTGTAACGAATTTTTCATTCGTTGTCACATCGTGGGGCGGGACTTAATTGCAAGATTCATATTTATTTATAAGAATTTACGACTTTAAGCATGTTTTAAGTCTCTTGTTCTGAAAAGACGACTACGTATATTAAGAAAAAAGGCAAAATATAAGCCCCGCCCGCCCGCCCTATCTCAATTGTAATGAAGTTTTCATTCGTTAGCAAACCTTGGGGCGGAGCCTAATTGCCAAATCCATATTTCCTTACAAAAGTTTCTAAGATAAAAAAAAATCATCACAATTGAGATAGGGTGGGTAGGCGGGGTTTTATATTTTGCCTTTTTTCTCAAAGTACCTAGTATTGTTTGAAGAACACGATACTCAAAAACATGTTTTTAATTTCTTATGAAGAAATAAGTATTTTGCAGTTAAGCTATGCCCCCTTGGTTCACGGCGATTAAAAACATTCATTACAATTGCGATGGGGTGGGTGGGCGGGGTTTATATTTTCCTTTGCTTCTTAATATACCCAGTATTCTTTGAATAACACGATACTTAAAAACATGTTTTTATTTTCTTGTAAAGAAACAAGTATTTTGCAGTTAAGCTCCGCCTTTTTAGCTCACGATGAATAAAAAAAATCATCACAATTGAGACAGGGTGGGTGGGCGGGGCTTATATTTTGCCTTTTTTTCTTAATATATATAGCCGTCTTTTTACAACAAGAAACTTAAAACATGTTTAAAATAATACGTTTTTGCAAGAAAATTTGGATTAGGGGCGGAACCTAATTGCAAAATTGATATTTCCTTATATAAACTTTCCATTTTAAACACGTTTTCAGTTTCATATTATGAAAAGAAGTCTACACACATTAAAACAAAAGGCATAATTTAGGCCCGCCCACCCGCCCTATCTCAATTGTGGTGATCTTTTTTATTCGCCGTCAACCAAGAGGGCAGAGCTTAGGTGCAAAATTTTTATTTCCTTACAAAAATTTACCATTTTAAAGGCTTATTAAGTTTCTAAGAATAAAAAAAATCATTACAATTGAGAGGGGGTGGTTGGGCTGGGTTTTATATTTCACCTTGTAAAAAATATGTTTTTAATTTCTTGTAAAGAAATAAGTATTTTGCAGTTAAACTCTGCCTTTTTCGCTCACGACGAATAAAAAAATTATCACACTCGAGATAGGGCGGGTGGGCGGGCTGACATTTTGTCTTTTTGTTGTAATTTGCGTAGACTTCTTTTCACAACATGAAACTTAAAATATGTTTAAAATGAAAAATTTGTATAAGGAAATATCGATTTTACAATTAGGCTTCGTCCCATAATTGCAAAATCCATATTTCCAGTGATTGGAACAATTAGTTTTAAAAAGTATTGCATTATTCATTCATTATTCTGAGGGGTTTAAAAGGACGGGCTGTATCGGTTACCTGTTATAGATTTAAGTGGACCAGAAAAATGGCTAAAGTTTGTTTGACCACAAATTTTAAATATTCTGCTCCTGTTTACTCAATTATTTATTACGATATTTTATCTCTTTAAAGCGCAATGGATTATCTAATACATTTTCTACTAATGTACCTTTTTGAAAATTTTTTTTTGACAACAAGATTTAAAAAAACGGAAAAGCGGTGTGGGTAGGGTTTTTTACGTTCAATTCTGTGCTACACTGCTACAGATTTTAACCCCCAAGTGAGTTAATCTTCTCTTTGTGGGGACGAACTAGTTATAATAATCCCAGCAACAAATTTTTGACTATTTGGGTTAAAAGTAATTGTAAAAGTGACTGAATTACTCAAAAAAGTAATTCCTTACAATTACTCATTACTTGGAAAGGAATTGAATTACAGTAATTAATTACTTCCAACCACTGCATATTTCCTTGCAAAAATGTACCATTTTAACCATGTTTTAAGCTTCTTGTTGCGAAAAGATGGCTATGTATGTTAAAAAAATCGTGTTGTTCAAAAAATACCACGTATGTTAAAAAAACAAGGCAAAAATTAAGCCCCACCCATATCCATCCCAAGCGCAATTGTGATGAATTTTTCATTCGTTGGCAGATCGAGAGGCGGAGCCTAATTGGAAAATCGATACTTTGTATAAGGAAACATCGATTTGGCAATTAGGCTCCACCCCATAATTCTATGCAAATATATTAAAAAAAAAGGCAAAGTATAAGCCCCGCCCACCCACCCTGTCTCAATTCTGATGATTTTTTTATTCGTCGAGAGCCAAAAGAGGGAAATTTAACTGCAAAATCCTTATTATTTCTCAACAAGAAATTACCAGGTAAGACTTGTTTTTGAATATAAGAATACTATGTATATTAAGAAAAAATTAAAGCCAAACATTAAGCTCCACCCATTCCTGTCCAGATCTGAATAATAATGAAGTTTTCATTCGTTGGCAGACCTACGGGCGGAGCGCAATTGCAAAATCCATATTTCCTTACAAAAATTTACCATTTTAAACGTGTTTTAAGTGTCTGAGAATAAAAACAAAATCATCACAATTGAGAGGGGGTGGGTGGGCTGGGTTTTATATTTTATCTTGTTAAAAACATGTTTTTAATTTCTTATAAATAAATGAGTATTTTGCAGTTGGGCTCCGCCCCCTTGGTTCACGGTGAATAAAAAAAATCATTACAATAGAGAGAGGGCGGGTGGGCTGGCTTACATTTTGCCTTTTTGTTTTAATATGTCTAGACCTTTTTTTTCACAACATGAAACTTAAAACATGTTTAAAATGGAAAATTTGTATAAGAAAATATCGCAATTAGGCGCCACCCCATCACTCTATGAACATTAAGAAAAAAAAGCAAAATAATATAAGCCCCGCCCACCCGCCCTGTTTCAATTCTGATGATTTTTTTATTCGCCGTGAACCAACAGGGCGGAGCTTAATTACAAACTCCTTATTTCTCTAGAAGAAATAAAAAAATATTTTGCCTTCCGTGTTGTGAAAAGAAGATTATACTACACATATTAAGAAAAAATTATAATACCTAATCTGTTTTTGAAACGAATAGCAATATAAATCTTGTTGATTTAAACGTTGAGAACTATATTGTTAACAATACCAGGACTGACAGTAAGATACAGTGTACAAAATGACCTCATTATGTCTATCAAAATTTGATTTTCGTGGAATTAGTGCTGTCAATTAGAAAAATGTCCCCCCTACTTCAGGGAATTTTCCTTGAAGTGGCAGCACTGCACACTACTGCAATTTGATTGGTTGAAAACCTAACGTCAATGGATGGTATAAACGACGCATACTTTTGCTGCGTACCTATTTATCTTACAACAGCAACGTCAGCGACAAGTTTATAAATAGACCTTAGGGATGTGGAAGTAAAAATGTCGTCATAGTGGCACAATAGTGGAGTGTATTTTGTACTAAATTTTTTATTACATGTTTGGTTTGATTCTATGAATCGGATAAAATAAGCTAATAAAGTAAATTATAAAAACCTACCATTTAACACTAATCAGCCTTTTCTTCATCGAACACAATAAAAATCAAATAAATAAAAACATAATAATGTAAATAAATAAATTAATTAAACTAATTCTTATCTTTAAGCGGCCCGGGGCTTTGGATTCCCTTCACTAACTTCGGACTTCCCATATTTTCCTTATCCTCTCCTCTCAGACTCATCTTTTTTCCAGGCTTCCTCAAATCATCCACTTCCTTCATCAGCTTCTCCACCATTTTATTCAACTTGTAATTTTTCGACTCCAAATCCAAATTCTTCTGAAACAACTCCGACGACTTCACTTTCAGATCCTTCACGTGTTTGATCTTCTGTTGGTGGTTCTGGTGCCCCAATATCTGGGCATACTTCAACCCGAGCTCTTTGGCTTCATTCTCGATAGTGGACTTCTCGTCAGTGAGCAGTTTCAACTCGTGCTGATAAGCCTCCAGCTGCTCCTGATACGGACCAATCAACTTCTCCAATTCCGCAATTTTTGCTCTTGCTTGATCCAACTCTTGAAGGATTTGCTCGAACTGCTGCGCCAACTCGTCGTACTTCCCGCTCTTCTCGATGTACTTCTTCCGGATTTCGGCCGCTTCTTCTGCTTCTTCGTCGGCTTTCACTTGATATAGTTTACGCTCGGTTTCCAACTCCACTTGTTTCTTCTCCTGGGATTCTATGAACGACGCGGACTGAGCGATGGTTGCTTGTGCTTCATTGATGAGAACTTGCTGCTCATAGTGTTGTTGTAAAACTTCACTCAGCAATTCTTTGTCTTTCGACAGCTTCTGCACCTGTTCTTTCAGTAGTTCCACCTTCCGCAGAAGCTCATTTTCGACGATTTTGACTTCTTTGTGGATGAGCTTCGACGTGGATTCGTATTGCATTTCGAGTTCTTCGTTAGCGGTTTCAGTTTCCATCAACTGAGAACTCAATTCGGTACATCTGCGTTCGTAATTCAAGTTCTTTTCTTCGCTTTTCTCGAGTTCTTCTTTCAGTTGTTCGACGTCCCGATCTGAACTAATCAAGCGTTTTTTGAGAACTTCGATCGTGACTTTGAACGTCGTAATCGACAACTCGTACGCGTGTTTTTCGGTCTTCAAGGTACCGATTTCTTGTTCCAGTTTCTCGATTTTGGCGACGGCGTCTTGGAGACATTTTTCCGTTTCTTCTAGCTTCGTCATCGCTTGGTTTTTCTCGATTTCGCACTGGATGATGTTGTATTCGCTGATTTCTTGACACTCCTTTAAAATAGCTTCTGACTCTTTTTCTTTGTTCTCTAATTTCTGCCTCCACCGCGCTTCCACTTCTTGGACCTTCTCGTTCATTTGCAACTCCGTCAGTACGTTCACATCTTTCAAGTTGTCTTCAAGAAGTAGAACCTTAGCTTCGCTGGCGTCGAGCTTCTTCAAAATTTCTTCTTTCTCGTGACCGTGCTGAATCTTCAAATGTTCAATTTCTTCAAGTTGCGCCTCCAACTCCATCACTCTCTTCAAAAATTGTTCTTGTTGTTCTTCATGTTGCTTCACCCGAGTTTCGGCTTCTTCAACTCGCTTCTGACTTTCCTCCTCTTTTTGGCGAAACTCGCGAACTTTCCCGTCCAACTCCTCCCGACTCGCTTCCACGGTTTTCTCATACAACTCCTGAAATTTCCCTACATTTGCTAACAACTTACTCAAATCGACGACGTTTTCGCTCTTCAGGTCTTCGTGTTGTCGCCGAATTTGCTTCAACGCGATGTTCATTTCAACAACATTATTACTAATCTCTTTGTATTCTTTGGCACGACGTAAACTGTCCTCTTTGTGTTGTTCCTGCAGTGTTGTAATCGTTCCCTCGTACTCGTTTTTTTCGTTTTCTAAGCGCGAATATTCCGTCTTTAAATGGTTAAGTTTAGCGGTCATTTCTTCGATTTGCTCCGTCAAATCTTTTATATATAAATCTTTATTGTTGCATTCGACGATTCTCTCCCTTAGTTCTTCGTGATCAGATAACTTTTCAGACTTTGAACTTTTAAACGACATTCCCAGCAGTTTTTTCCGCTTCTGAGGCAGGCTGGGCTGCAATTAAATACAAATACTGCAGCCTTGTTTAAAAAAAAAGTTCCTAACCTAACTTTCTGTTTTCCTATAAATTAAATACTCGCGCGTTTTCAAATAATAATAATAATAATAATGCATTATTGGTGGACTTTTAGTTGTATCATAACTGAGCGTGATACCTTATTATTATTATTATTATTATTTTAAATAATTATGACAAGTAGACTTCGTTTCTTTTCACAAGCTTACGTCACCCTATCAAAATAAACGAGCTATAAACGCCAACAGGGTCGTGATTAAAGCAACCCAACCATAAAAACACCCCAAAAACACAAACCATGACTATACCAAGTAAAAAATCTACTTTTTGTTGTACTTACCGTCTGAAAACATGGTGTGCTGTGCACGGATCCCGGCTCGGAACTCGGGGGGCTGCCGGGCTTCTTCACGTACGTCCCCGGTTTCGCAATTAGCCCCAGTTTGATTTTCTCTTGTGTTGAAACATTGTACTTTGCAGGGGATGGGGTGCAGGCTAGAAGCAACCCTTTAAAAACACGGGGGTTGAAAACGCCAAACTCACCTGTAATGTCGTTGAATCTTTGGATTTTGGCTTTGGAAAAAGACATAATAAAAACACTATTAAACTACGAACAAACAATCATGGGGATTATAAAAAAAACAACATTAAAAACGCGATTGTGCCGGCGAGATATCTTGAAAATGAAAATGAATCGTAACGGCTGTGACGGTTGACGGCCGGCCAATGGGGAGGGAGATGGGTGCGAGGGACGCGTCGCGATTGGTGGCGAAATGACAAGGATGTGCAGATGGTGGTGTATCAAGGGCGTTCACGCAAGGTGAACAAATTAGAGATAACGTTAATTTTGCGGAGATAAGGTCGGGTTGTTTGATGTTTAATCGCGGTTTTTTTTGTATAATGTGTAACTGGTTGAGCGTGACGAGGCACATGTGTGTTAAAACGGGGTAACGACGAATGGAGTTACCTCTACTTTGTTTGTTTTGTTGAACGTGTATAGTGTGTTGCATACATACCGATAGCATCAAATGAAAACGAATTGAATTAGAACAGGTCGTACAGATAGTCTTAGATTGGCACTACTGCAGCGGGTAAAATAAAAAACACAACTGCGATTACAATAACATCATCTATTTAACACTTGCAACAATTGATTATATAATTATAGTGAGGTGGTGCGACTTTATTCCATTATTAATTCGTGAATACCCTCCTGCAATAACAAATCAAAAACTGAGTGAAATTAGTAAAATTTAACTTGCCTCTTTCGCCTTCTTCAGGAAACATATGGACAGCGATGCGGAATACAGACACGGATCGGGTTCAGTCGGAGCTAATAAAATTCGCTTTACCACTGAAAATCGAATTAATCACACTTACTTTGCATGCAGTGGTCAAACGCATCAATAGCTTTCTTGTGAAAATCGGCGTCTACATCTCTCACGATTTCCAAAGTTTCCATAGCACCTTCTCTATTGATACTTCCATCGTCGTTTTGCTAAGACAATCGTTACAATTTTTCCAAAATGTCAAACGTTACTTACCACATTGAATTTTTTGTGGGTACAAAACAAGACGCATTTGCCTTCGTGGCTGTCTGGTATTTTCAAATCCATGATTGTGTCCAAGTCGCCTGAAAAGAAATGTTAGCCACAGGTGGTACTAATCGAAAATCGTACTCATTTGGGCGTTTTCTTGGCTGACACAGTCTTCTGCGATTTTTCGGACCTTGGCTCGAGTGGACTTCAAAAATTCTTCATCCATCTAGAGAATGGAGATTAAGTGGTGATGGAATAGTTAAAATTGTACTTACAGCGTTGGCTTTCAGGATAATGAAAACAGCTAAAAACGCCACGAACTTCATGTTGAAAGGGTACTGAATGCTCACTGGGTTTGTGCTGCTTTTATATGAAATGTCTTTATTAATGAGACAGTGCAGTTTGCAATTAAATTAATTAAAAATATTAATAAGTGACTAGGTTTCCGTTTTTTCTCATATGAAGACAGCTAGGAATTAGTCTTTTGGATTGTAATTGCATTTTATTATGTCACAGTTTGGTCGTAATTACAGAGAATGGCAACTAAAACACGATGATTTATTTTTTAAGGTGCTTTATTCTTGATTAAGTTACATTGACATAAAATTTTAACAAAGTGGCTCTTATTCTATGACTAAGTCGTCCAGACCAAGCTAAAATAAAAAATATTAGTCAGTAATTACTTGTGTACTTTTCATACCAACCGCTTTTCCTTCTTTTACAATACATTCTGCTAAATTAGTTGCATAAACGCAAGGGTCGCTATCAAATGGGGCTAAAACAGATTTATTTAACAAAACCTGAGACATCTTCAAAGTCCCACTTACCTGATTCACACTTCTTAAAAGCTGTGGACACTTTAGTATACAAATCGGCATCCATATCTTTGATCATTTCCAAATTTTCCAAAGCGCCAGCCATATTTAAACTACCGTCTGCGTTTTGCTAAAACAAATCAATAAGTGTTGAATTACTGACTCAAAGTTTTCTTACAGCGTTGTAGATTTTGTGCATGCAGAAAATGATACATTTGCCTTCTCGAGAAGTTGGTATTTTTTTGGCAAAAAGTTCAGCTACATCGTCTGAAACAAAAAAAAAAAATTATTGCTGAAATTTTTGAAGATTCGTATTACTTGGAGTTGCAGACACTTCTTTCGCGCATTCTTCAGCTTGGGCCTTCATCTTCTGTTGGATTTGCTGAACAAATTCTTTATCGATCTGAAGAATATAGTGTCCAGATTTGTCTAAAAATTGTAAGAAAAGTGACTTACCCCATGCACAGCCACCACTAGTAGTGTTAAAGCGATGAAAGTCTTCATTTTGACAAGAGTACTTAATGTTCTGCTGTGTTGTCCGTTTGTGCCTAATTTATATGCATATGTCCAGGTCAAAGTCGGATTTTTTTAGAAATTTAATTGTTATTAACAGCGTAATGACCAGTTGGGTAAATACTACTTTAGGGTTTTTAGTATTTGTTTGACGTATGTGGTAATTCGTGGTGTAGCAAGAGTTTAAACCTCTTTTAACTACAATATATATGTATTTTTTTGATACTTGATACACATTCTGGGGTGTTTTATCATTGTCATACAAGTTTTATCACACCAATTTACAAAAATCCTATAATTTTTTATTAATTTAATTTGATAAAATATTCTCCATTCATTGTTACACCAGTTGCACACAAAGCACGCAACGCAGAAAATTACAATAATTACCATCTGCGTCTAGCTAGAAATGTAAAAGCTGCAATTTTACAAAAATTGTATGCTTACTGAACGCAAAACTAGCAATTTATCTCAATTATTTGCAATATTTTGCGGTCACTGGAAAGCATCGACATCCTTGAGCACTTTGAGTGACGTCACGACGCTGCAGCGCCATCTCTATATCAACTTCCGAACCAATCGCGAAGCCGCTCTTAATATTCAGAAAGTGAAAACAACACACAATAATATACATAATACGATTGTTTTTCCTTCCTCGTGCTTATTAATATTCCACGTGACTCCTCTACACTGTAAACAAGCAACGTAACTAATGATCGTTAACGATTTCGAAACGTAACGAAGAGAAATGTGTCAAGTCCGGTGCTGGATTTCTTGGAGGTCATCGCATCCGCCCAAAGGTGTCTTTCCCGTTGCATCTAAGCCTCCAGTCTGTAATGGCATTCTGAATCTCGCGCACGTTTGACTTAAGTCGGTCCAACTTTCGGTGGTTGTGTAAAAAACAGTCGACGGCGATGCGGTTTCCGAAAACGCGAAAGTGGTCGAGTTTTTTTTAAGTTTGTAGTTGTTTATCGGGCGATGTAGGAGGATTATCGCTAACAGGTAGGTGAACGAACGGGTTTGCGACGCTAAAAAATTGTAAATAAACAAATAAATTAGTAGGGCGTTGAAGACGACTGCAAGAAGTCGGTGCGGGTTTAGCACCTTTGTTTTATTTGGTGATCTGCATAGGCGTGGGTTGCCGGACTGCAGTATTATCGGGCGTTCACCCTTCTGCATGCATTATCTTTTTTCTGGACCGAATTGCGGACTATTATTAGGGCTTCCAAATCAATGTTGTGTAAATAATCTTCATTGATTCAAAGTGCCAGATGGTAGCCGTCGAAAGTATAATACAAGTGAACTTAAAATAGCCCCTGTGTTTTGGATACGACGGAACAGATTTTGTTACAAAAGCTTAAGGCGATTTAATGTCGCTTTGTTGGTGGACGGAGGTTTTCTTTTTTTGGTGACGGAGGGATAAAGATGCGGCTGAAAGGGAAGATGTTTCCTAGGTTTCATAATCGCCACACGTAAACAGAATTGAGAAATTTACGACCAGTTTACTAATAATTCAGTGTAAAGTTTGCAATGATATGTAAAGAAGCTTTTAAGATCCGTTTTGTAAATATTTGTGCTCAACACCCGATTACGAGGCTTTTAAATAAGCCATAAATTTGGGTATACAGGTGTTGCGGAGAAAAATTCTAGCAGAAATATTTCTGCATTGATCGACTTTTTGTAAGAAAAGAACTTATGCAGGTGTCCCAGTACAAGATTAGTTACTTCCTGTGGGCTATTGAAAAGATGTTGTGACACAATCCGTGTGAATGTATTTGGATCTACAGTATGAGTTACTTTCACTTATACAGTGTTTTTAAAAAACGAAAAAATATAGAGAAATTTCTGAAGTTGTATGAGAAAACTGTGCTGAGTGAAGTTTTACAACAACGCTATGAGCAGCACGTCCTCATTAATGAAGCACAGGCAACCATCGCTCAGTCCGCGTCGTTTATAGAATCCCAGGAGAAGAACCAAGTGGAGTTGGAAACCGAACGCAAAGTACATCGAGAAGAGCGGGAAGACGACGAGTTGGCGCAGTTCGAGCAAATACTTCAAGAGTTGGATCAAGCAAGAGCAAAAATTGCTGAGTTGGAGAAGTTGATTGGTCCGTATCAGGAGCAGCTGGAGGTTTATCAGCACGAGTTGAAACTGTTCACTGAGAAGAAGTCCACTATCAAGAATGAAGCCAAAGAGCTCGGGTTGAAGTATGCCCAGATATTGGGGCACCAGAACCACCAACAGAAGATCAAACACGTGAAGGATCTGAAAGTGAAGTCGTCGGAGTTGTTTCAGAAGAATTTGGATTTGGAGTCGAAAAATTACAAGTTGAATAAAATGGTGGAGAAGCTGATGAAGGAAGTCGATGATTTGAGGAAGCCTGGAAAAAAGATGAGTCTGAGAGGAGAGGATAAGGAAAATATGGGAAGTCCGAAGTTAGTGAAGGGAATCCAAAGCCCCGGGCCGCTTAAAGATAAGAATTAGTTTAATTAATTAATTTATTTATATTATTATGTTTTTATTTATTTGATTTTTATTGTGTTCGATGAAGAAAAGGCTGATTAGTGTTAAATGGTAGGTTTTTATAATTTACTTTATTAGCTTATTTTATCCGATTCAGTGAATCAAACCAAACATGTAATAAAAAATTTAGTACAAAATACACTCCACTATTGTGCCACTATGACGACATTTTTACTTCCACATCCCTAAAGTTGATTTATAAACTTTTCGCTGAACTTGGCGTTATGATAAATACACAGCGAAGGTTTGTGTCGTTTATATCGTCCGTTGACGTCGGGTTTTCAACCAATCAAATTGCAGTAGTGTGCAGTGCTGCCAACTTGAAGGAAAATCCCCTGAAGTAGGGGGGACATTTTTCTAATTGACAGCACTAATTACACGAAAATCAAAGTTTGACAGAGATATTGAGGTCATTTTTTACACTCTAGCTTTCTGTCAATCCTTATGTATTGTTAATGTAAGTTCTCAACGTTTAAATGAACAATATTTATTGCTATTCGTTTCAAAAAGAGATTAGGTATTATAATTTTTTCTTCTAGTGTAGTCTTCTATTCACAACACGGAAGGCAAAATATGTTTATTATTCCTTGTAGAGAAATAGGGAGTTTGCAATTAAGCTCCGCCCTGTAGGTTCACGGCGAATAAAAAAATCATCGCAATTGAAACAGGGCGGGTGGGCGGGGCTTATATTTTGCTTTTTGTTCATAGAATGATGGGGCGGAACCTAATTGCAAAATCGATAATTCCTTATACAAATTTTCCATTTTAAACATATTTTAAGTTTCATGTTGTAAAAAAAAAAAGAAGTCTACACAAATTAAAACAAAAAGGCAAAATGTAAGCCCGCCCACCCGCCCTCTCTCTATTGTAATGATTTTTTTTATTCACAGTGAACCAAGGGGTCGGAGTCCAACTGCAAAATACTCATTTCTTTACAAGAAATTAAAAACATGTTTTTAACAAGGTAAAATATAAAACCCAGCCCACCCACCCCCTCTCAATTGTGATGATTTTGTTTTTATTCTCAGACACTTAAAACACATTTAAAATGGTAAATTTTTGTAAAGAAATATGGATTTTGCAATTGCGCTCCGCCCCTAGGTCTGCCAACGAATGAAAACTTCATTACTATTCAGATCTGGCCAGGTATGGGTGGGACTTAATGTTTGGCTTTAATTTTTTCTTAATATACATAGTATTCTTATATTCAAAAACACGTCTTACCTGGTAATTTCTTGTTGAGAAATAATCAGGATTTTGCAGTTAAATTTCCCTCTCTTGGCTCTCGACGAATAAAAAAAAAACATCAGAATTGAGACAGGGTGGGTGGGCGGGGCTTATATTTTGCCTTTTTTTCTTAATATATTTACGTAGAATTATGGGGTGGAGCCTAATTGCCAAATCGATGTTTCCTTATACAAATTTTCCATTTTAAACATGTTTTAAGTTTCATGTTGTGAAAAGAAGTCTACACATATTAAAAGAAAAAGGCAAAATATAAGCCCGCCCACCCGCCCTATCTCTATTGTGATGTTCTTTTTTATTCGCCGTCAACCAAGGGGGTGGAGCTTAAGTGCAAAATACTCATTTCTTTACAATAAATTAAGAACATGTTTTTGAGTATCGTGTTGTTTAAAGAATACTGTGTATATTAAGAAAACGAGGTAAAATATAAAACCCCGCCCTCTCACCTTCTCTCAATTGTGATGATTTTGTTTTTATTCTCAGACACTTAAAACACGTTTAAAATAGTAAATTTTTGTAAAGAAATATGGCTTTTGCAATTACGCTCCGCCCCTAGGTCTGCCAACGAATGAAAACTTCATTACTATTCAGATCTGGGCAAGTATGGGTGGGGCTTAATGTTTGGCTTTAATTTTTTCTTAATACACATAGTATTCTTATACTCAAAAACACGTCTTACCTGTACTTTCTTGTTGAGAAATAATAAGGATTTTGCAGTTAAATTTCCTTCTTTTGGCTCTCGACGAATAAAAAAAATCATCAGAATTGAAACAGGGTGGGTGGGCGGGGCTTATATTTTGCCTTTTTTTCTTAACATATTTACATAGAATTATGGGGCGGAGCCTAATTGCCAAATCGATGTTTCTTTATACAAATTTTCCATTTTAAACATGTTTTAAGTTTCATGTTGTGAAAGGAAGTGTACACATATTAAAACAAAAAGACAAAATGTAAGCCCGCCCACCCGCCCTATCTCTATTGTGATGATTTTTTTTATTCACTGTGAACCAAAGGGGCAGGTCTTAACTGCAAAATACTCATTTCTTTACAATAAATTAAGAACATGTTTTTGAGTATCGTGTTGTTTAAAGAATACTGTGGATATTAAGAAAACGAGGTAAAATATAATACCCCGCCCACCCACCTGCTCTCAATTGTGATGATTTTGTTTTTATTCTTGGAAACTTAAAACACGTTTACAATGGTAAATTTTTGTAAAGAAATATGGGTTTTGCAATTACGCTCCGCCCCTAGGTCTGCCAACGAATGAAAACTTCATTACTATTCAGATCTGAGCAGATATGGGTGGGGCTTAATGTTTGGCTTAAATTTTTTCTTAATATACATAATATTCTTATATTCAAAAACACGTACGTCTTACTTGGTAATTTCTTGTTGAGAAATAATAAAGATTTTGCAGTTAAATTTCGCTCTTTTGGCTCTCGACGAATAAAAAAAATCATCAGAATTGAGACCGGGTGGGTGGGCGGGGCTTATATTTTGCCTTTTTTTCTTGTTAACCAAGGGGGCGGATCTCAGCTGCAAAATACTCATTTCTTTAAAAGAAATTAAAAACATGTTTTTGAGTGTTGTGTTGTTCAAAGAATATTATGCATATTAAGACAACAAGGTAAAATATAAAACCCCGCCCTCCCACCCCCTCTCAATTGTGATGATTTTGTTTTTATTCTTAGAGACTTAAAACACTTTTGAAATGGTAAATTTTTGTAAAGAAATGTGGATTTTACCATTACGCTCCGCCCCTAGGTCGGCCAACGAATGAAAACTTCATTCCTATTCAGATCTGGGAAGGTTTAATGTTTAGCTTTAATTTTTTCTTAATATACATATTATTCTTATACTCAAAAACACGTCTTACCTGGTAATTTCTTGTTGAGAAATAATAAGGATTTTGCACTTAAATTTCGCTCTTTTGGCTCTCGACGAATAAAAAAAAACATCAGAATTGAAACCGGGTGGGTGGGCGGGGCTTATATTTTCCTTCTTTCTTAATACACGTAGTCGTCTTTTCAGAACAAGAAACGTAAAACGTGTGTAAAAAGAAATTAAGTGATTAAGAGGAACAAAGGAGAGAATCGTTGAATGCAACAATAAAGAGATATATACAAAAGATTTAACGAAGCAAATCGAAGAAATGACCGCTGAACTTAACCATTTAAAGAAGGAATATTCCCGCTTAGAAAACGAAAAAAAACGAGTACGACGGAACGATTACAACACTGCAGGAACAACACAAAGAGGACAGTTTACGTCGTGTCAAAGAATACAAAGAGATTAGTAATAATGTTGTTGAATGAACATCGCGTTGAAGCAAATTCGGCGACAACACGAAGACCTGAAGAGCGAAAACGTCGTCGATTTGAGTAAGTTGTTAGCAAATGTAGGGAAATTTCAGGAGTTGTATGAAAAAACCGTGGAAGCGAGTCGAGAGGAGTTGGACGGAAAAGTTCGCGAGTTTCGCCAAAAAGAGGAAGAAAGTCGGAAGCGAGTTGAAGAAGCCGAAACTCGGGTGAAGCAACATGAAGAACAACAAGAACAATTTTTGAAGAGAGTGATGGAGTTGGAGGCGGAACTTGAAGAAATTGAACATTTGAAGATTCAGCACGGTCACGAGAAAGAAGAAATTTTGAAGAAGCTCGACGCCAGCGAAGCGAAGGTTCTACTTCTTGAAGACAACTTGAAAGATGTGAACGTACTGACGGAGTTGCAAATGAACGAGAAGGTCCAAGAAGTGGAAGCCCGGTGGAGGCAGAAATTAGAAAACAAAGAAAAAGAATCAGAAGCTATTTTAAAGGAGTGCCAAGAAATCAGCGAATACAACATCATCCAGTGCGAAATCGAGAAAAACCAAGCGATGACGAAGCTAGAAGAAACGGAAAAATGTCTCCAAGACGCCGTCGCCAAAATCGAGAAACTGGAACAAGAAATCGGTACCTTGAAGGCCGAAAAACACGCGTACGAGTTGTCGATTACGACGTGCAAAGTCACGATCGAAGTTCTCAAAAAACGCTTGATTAGTTCAGATCGGGACGTCGAACAACTGAAAGAGGAACTCGAGAAAAGCGAACAAAAGAACTTGAATTACGAACGCAGATGTACCGAATTGAGTTCTCAGTTGATGGAAACTGAAACCGCTAACGAAGAACTCGAAATGCAATACGAATCCACGTCGAAGCTCATCCACAAAGAAGTCAAAATCGTCGAAAATGAGCTTCTGCGGAAGGTGGAACTGCTGAAAGAACAGGTGCAGAAGCTGTCGAAAGACAAAGAATTGCTGAGTGAAGTTTTACAACAACACTATGAGCAGCAAGTTCTCATCAATGAAGCACAAGCAACCATCGCTCAGTCCGCGTCGTTTATAGAATCCCAGGAGAAGAAACAAGTGGAGTTGGAAACCGAGCGTAAACTCTATCAAGTGAAAGCCGACGAAGAAGCAGAAGAAGCGGCCGAAATCCGGAAGAAATACATCGAGAAGAGCGGGAAGTACGACGAGTTGGCGCAGCAGTTCGAGCAAATACTTCAAGAATTGGATCAAGCAAGAGCAAAAATTGCTGAGTTGGAGAAGTTGATTGGTCCGTATCAGGAGCAGCTGGAGGCTTATCAGCACGAGTTGAAACTGCTCACTGACGAGAAGTCCACTATCGAGAATGAAGCCAAAGAGCTCGGGTTGAAGTATGCCCAGATATTGGGGCACCAGAACCACCAACAGAAGATCAAACACGTGAAGGATCTGAAAGTGAAGTCGTCGGAGTTGTTTCAGAAGAATTTGGATTTGGGGTCGAAAAATTACAAGTTGAATAAAATGGTGGAGAAGCTGATGGAGGAAGTGGATGATTTGAGGAAGCCTGGAAAAAGAATGAGTCTGAGAGGAGAGGATAAGGAAAATATGGGAAGTCCGAAGTTAGTGAAGGGAATCCAAAGCCCCGGTCCGCTTAAAGATAAGAATTAGTTTAATTAATTTATTTATTTACATTATTTTGTTTTTATTTATTTGATTTTTATTGTGTTCGATGAAGAAAAGGCTGATTAGTGTTAAATGGTAGGTTTTTATAATTTACTTTATTAGCTTATTTTATCCGATTCATAGAATCAAACCAAACATGTAATAAAAAATTTAGTACAAAATACACTCCACTATTGTGCCACTACGACGACATTTTTATTTCCACATCCCTAAGGTCGATTTATAAACTTGTCGCTGACGTTGTCGTTGTAAAATAAATACGCAGCGAAGGTATGCGTCGTTTACATCATTCGTTGACGCTAGGGGTTTTCAACCAATCAAAGTGCAGTAGTGTGCCAACTTAGAGGAAAATCCCCTGAAGTTGGGGGGACATTTTTCTAACTGACAGCACTAATTCCACGAAAATCAAATTTTGACAGAGATAATGAGGTCATTTTTTATCACGCTTTTATTAGCTTGGGTTGTATCTATGTATGTATGTAACGGAATCTTTGAGCTTAATTTTCATCGGTTTCTAAAAGTCTGATCATCTTGAAACTTTGCACACGTCTCAAGGATCGATGACAATGCAATAATTTGATAACAGTTTTACCATTATCCTTATTAGGACCGCCAGGATCCTCGATCCTACGGAGACCACTGAGTGGTTCTTTCTAGAAAAATCTAAATAAGTAATTAATTCCCCAATTTATGAATTTGTCGCAGACTAAAAAATGAAAAATAAATAATAGTTTAAAAAACTAAAAAAACACGCTTTTATTGCTAATCTAACTAAAAACTAGGAAATAATTTTTAATGACAGAGTTTAATATTACAGTAGTAGAAGATCAAACAATCAATCATAATAAATCACCTCAAATTAAAATTATAATAAAATTTAAGTTTTTAACAGAATAATTCAATTCAGAGTAAAAAGCGTGGGGTGCATTTTACTGCGGTTCATAACTATCCTCTCATAGATAGTTGCCAATAGAATGATTGTAATATTTAAAATATCAAGCACCCCACGCTTTTTACTCTGAATTGAATTATTCTGTTAATAACTTAAATTTTATTATAATTTTAATTTGAGGTGATTTATTATGATTGATTGTTTGATCTTCTACTACTGTAATATTAAACTCTGTCATTAAAAATTATTTCCTAGTTTTTAGTTAGATTAGCAATAAAAGCGTGTTTTTTTAGTTTTTTAAACTATTATTTATTACAGTGTAGCTTTCTGTCAATCGTTATGTATTGTTAATGATAGTTCTCAACGTTTAAATGAACAATATTTATTGCTATTCGTTTCATAAACAGATTAGGTATTATAATTTTTTCTTAATATGTGTAGTGTAGTCTTCTTTTCACAAAACGGAAGACAAAATATGTTTTTTATTTCTTGTAGAGAAATAAGGAGTTTGCAATTAAGCTTCGCCCCGTTGGTTCACGACGAATAAAAAAATCGTCAGAATGGAGACAGGGCGGGTGGGCGGGGCTTATATTTTGCTTTTTTTTTCTTAATATTCATAGAATGATGGGGTGGAGCCTAATTGCGATATTTTCTTATACAAATTTTCCATGTTAAACATGTTTTAAGTTTCATGTTGTGAAAAAAAAGGTCTAGACATATTAAAACAAAAAGGCAAAATGTAAGCCCGCCCACCCGCCCTCTCTCTATTGTAATGATTTTTCTTATTCACCGTGAACCAAGGGGGCGGAGCCCAACTGCAAACACTCATTTATTTACAAGAAATTAAAAACATGTTTTTAACAAGGTAAAATATAAAACCCAGCCCACCCATCCCCTCTCAATTGTGATGATTTTTTTTTCATTCTCAGACAATTAAAACACGTTTAAAATGGTAAATTTTTGTTAAGAAATATGGATTTTGCAATTACGCTCCGCCCCTAGGTCTGCCAATGAATGAAAACTTCATTACTATTTAGATCCGAGCAGATATGGGTGGGGCTTAATGTTTGGCTTTAATTTTTTCTTAATGCACATAGTCTTCTTATACTCAAAAACACGTCTTACCTGTAATTTCTTGTTGAGAAATAATAAGGATTTTGCAGTTAAATTTCCCTCTTTTGGCTCTCGACGAATAAAAAAATCATCAGAATTGAGACCGGGTGGGTGGGCGGGGCTTATATTTTGCCTTTTTTTCTAAATATATGTACATCGAATTATGGGGTGGAGCCTAATTGCCAAATCGTTGTTCCTTATACAAATTTTCCATTTTAAACATGTTTTAAGTTTCATGTTGTGAAAAGAAGTCTACACATATTAAAAGAAAAAGGCAAAATATAAGCCCGCCCACCCGCCCTATCTTTATTGTGATGATTTTTTTTATTCACTGTGAACCAAAGGGGCAGATCTTAACTGCAAAATACTCATTTCTTTACAATAAATTAAGAACATGTTTTTGAGTATCGTGTTGTTTAAAGAATACTATGCATATTAAGACAACAAGGTAAAATATAAAACCCCGCCTAGTTTGCAATTACGCTCCGCCCCTAGGTCTGCCAACGAATGAGAACATCATTACTATTCAGATCTGGGCATGTATGGGTGGAGCTTAATGTTTGGCTTTAATTTTGTCTTAATATACATAGTATTCTTATATTCAAAAACAAGTCTTACCCGGTAATTTCTTGTTGAGAAATAATGAACATTTTGCAGTTAAATTTCCCTCTTTTGGCTCACCATGAATAAAAAAAATCATCACAATTGAGACCGGGTGGGTGGGCGGGGCTTATATTTTTCCTTCTTTCTTAATAATTTACACAGAATTATGGGGCGGAGCCTAATTGCTACATCGATTTTTCCTTATACAAATTTTCCATTTTAAACATGTTTTAAGTTTCATGTTGTGAAAAGAAGTCTACACATGTTAAAAGAAAAAGGCAAAATATAAGCCCGCCCACCCGCCCTATCTCTATTGTGATGATTTTTTTTATTCACTGTGAATCAAAGGGGCAGATCTTAACTGCAGAATACTCATTTCTTTACAATAAATTAAGAACATGTTTTTGAGTATTGTGTTGTTTAAAGAATACTATGTATATTAAGAAAACAGAGTAAAATATAAAACCCCGCTCACCCACCCCCTCTCAATTGTGATGATTTTGTTTTTATTCTTAGAAACTTAAAACACGTTTAAAATGGTAAATTTTTATAAAGAAATATGGATTTTGCAATTATGCTCCGCCCCTAGGTCTGGCAACGAATGAAAACTTCATTACTATTCAGATCTGATCAGGTATGGGTGTGGCTTAATGTTTGGCTTTAATTTTTTCTTAATATGCATAGTATTCTTATATTCAGAAACGAGTCTTACCTGGTAATTTCTTGTTAAGAAATAATAAGGATTTTGCAGTTAAATTTCGCTCTTTTGGCTCTCGACGAATAAAAAAAATCATCAGAATTGAGACCGGGTGGGTGGGCGGGGCTTATATTTTGCCTTCTTTCTTAATATACGTAGTCATCTTTTCAGAACAAGAAACGTAACACATGTGTAAAAAGAAGTTAAGTGATTAAGAGGAACAAAGGAGAGAATCGTCGAATGCAACAATAAAGATTTATACATAAAAGATTTAACGGAGCAAATCGAAGAAATGACCGCTAAACTTAACCATTTAAAGACGGAATATTCGCGCTTAGAAAACGAAAAAAACGAGTACGAGGGAACGATTACAACACTGCAGGAACAACACAAAGAGGACAGTTTACGGCGTGCCAAAGAATACAAAGAGATTAGTAATAATGTTGTTGAAATGAACATCGCGTTGAAGCAAATTCGGCGACAACACGAAGACCTGAAGAGCGAAAACGTCGTCGATTTGAGTAAGTTGGTAGCAAATGTAGGGAAATTTCAGGAGTTGTATGAGAAAACCGTGGAAGCGAGTCGGGAGGAGTTGGACGGAAAAGTTCGCGAGTTTCGCCAAAGAGGAGGAAAGCCAGTAGCGAGTTGAAGAAGCCGAAACTCGAGTGAAGCAACACGAAGAACAACAAGAACAATTTTTGAAGAGAGTGGTGGAGTTGGAGGCGCAACTTGAAGAAATTGAAGATTTGAAGATTCAGCACGGTCACGAGAAAGAAGAAATTTTGAAGAAGCTCGACGCCAGCGAAGCTAAGGTTCTACTTCTTGAAGACAACTTGAAAAAGGTGAACGTACTGACGGAGCTGCAAATGAACGAGAAGGTCCAAGAAGTAGAAGCGCGCTGGAGGCAGAAATTAGAAAACAAAGAAAAAGAATCAGAAGCTATTTTAAAAGAGTGCCAAAAAATCAGCGAATACAACATCATCCAGTGCGAAATCGAGAAAAACCAAGCGATGACGAAGCTAGAAGAAACGGAAAAATGTCTCCAAGACGCCGTCGCCAAAATCGAGAAACTGGAAGAAGAAATCGGCGCCTTGAAGACCGAAAAACACGCGTACGAGTTGTCGATTACGACGTTCAAAGTCACGATCGAAGTTCTCAAGAAACGCTTGATTAGTTCAGATCGGGACGTCGAACAACTGAAAGAGGAACTCGAGAAAAGCAAAGAAAAGAATTTGAATTACGAACGCAGATGTACCGAATTGAGTTCTCAGTTGATGGAAACTGAAACCGCTAACGAAGAACTCGAAATGCAATACGAATCCACGTCGAAGCTCATTCACAAAGAAGTCAAAATAGTCGAAAATTAGCTTCTGCGGAAGGTGGAACTGCTGAAAGAACAAGTGCAGAAGTTGCCGAAAGACAAAGAGTTGCTGAGTGAAGTTTCTCAACAACGCTATGAGCAGCACGTTCTTATCAATGAAGCACAAACAACCATCGCTCAGTCCGCGTCGTTCATAGAATCCCAGGAGAAGAAACAAGTGGAGTTGGAAACCGAACGTAAACTCTATCAAATGAAAGCCAACGAAGAAGCAGAAGAAGAGGCCGAAATCCGGAAGAAGTACATCGAGAAGAGCGGGAAGTACGACGAGTTGGCACAGAAGTTCGAGCAAATACTTCAAGAGTTGGATCAAGCAAGAGCAAAAATTGCTGAGTTGGAGAAGTTGATTGGTCCGTATCAGGAGCAGCTGGAGGCTTATCAGCACGAGTTGAAACCGCTCACTCAGGAGAAGTCCACTATCGAGAATGAAGCCAAAGAGCTCGGGTTGAAGTATGCTCAGATATTGGGGCACCAGAACCACCAACAGAAGATCAAACACGTGAAGGATCTGAAAGTGAAGTCGTCGGAGTTGTTTCAGAAGAATTTGGATTTGGAGTCGAAAAATTACAAGTTGAATAAAATGGTGGAGAAGCTGATGAAGGAAGTGGGTGATTTGAGGAAGTCTGGAAAAAGAATGAGTCTGAGAAGAGAGGATAAGGAAAATATGGGAAGTCCGAAGTTAGTGAAGGGAATCCAAAGCCCCGGGCCGCTTAAAGATAAGAATTAGTTTAATTAATTAATTAATTTATATTATTATGTTTTTATTTATTTGATTTTTATTGTATTCGATGAAGAAAAGGCTGATTATTGTTAAATGGTAAGTTTTTATAATTTACTTTATTAGCTTATTTTGTCCGATTCATAGAATCAAACCAAACATGTAATAAAAAATTTAGTACAAAATACACTCCACTATTGTGCCACTACGACGACATTTTTTCTTCCACATTCCTAAGGTCGATTTATAAACTTGTCGCTGACGTTGCTGTTGTAAGATAAATACGCAGCAAAAATATGCGTCGTTTATACCATCCGTTGACGTTGGGTTTTCAACCAATCAAATTGCAGTCGTGTGCAGTGCTGCCAACTTCAAGGAAAATCCCCTGAAGTAAGGGGGACATTTTTCTAATTGACAGCACTAATTCCACGAAAATCAAATTTTGATAGAGATAATGAGGTCATTTTGTACACTGTAGCTTACTGTCAGTCCTGGTATTGTTAACAGTATAGTTCTCAACGTTTAAATCAACAAGATTTATATTGCTATTCGTTTCAAAAACAGATTAGGTATTATAATTTTTTCTTAATATGTGTAGTATAATCTTCTTTTCACAACACGGAAGGCAAAATATGTTTTTTATTTCTTCTAGAGGAATAAGGAGTTTGTAATTAAGCTCGGCGAATAAAAAAATCATCAGAATTGAGACAGGGCGGGTGGGCGGGGCTTATATTTTGCTTTTTTTTTCTTAATATTCATAGAATGATGGGGTGGAGCGTAATTGCGATATTTTCTTATACAAATTTTCCATGTTAAACATGTTTTAAGTTTCATGTTGTGGAAAAAAAAAGGTCTACACATATTAAAACAAAAAGGCAAAATTTAAGCCCGCCCACCCGCCCTCTCTCTATTGCAATGATTTTTTTTATTCACCGTGAACCAAGGGGGCGGAGCCCAACTGTAAACACTCATTTATTTACAAGAAATTAAAAACATGTTTTTAACAAGGTAAAATATAAAACCCAGCCCACCCATCCCCTCTCAATTGTGATGATTTTGTTTTTATTCTCAGACACTTAAAACACGTTTAAAATGGTAAATTTTTGTAAGGAAATATGGATTTTGCAATTGCGCTCCGCCCGTAGGTCTGCCAACCAATGAAAACTTCATTACTATTCAGATCTGGACAGGTATGGGTGGAGCTTAATGTTTGGCTTTAATTTTTTCTTAATATACATAGTATTCTTATATTCAAAAACAAGTCTTATCTGGTAATTTCTTGTTGAGAAATAATAAGGATTTTGCAGTTAAATCTCGCTCTTTTGGCTCTCGACGAATAAAAAAAATCATCAGAATTGAGACAGGGTGGGTGGGCAGGGCTTATATTTTGCCTTTTTTTCTTAATATATTTACATAGAATTATGGGGCGGAGCCTAATTGCCAAATCGATGTTTCTTTATACAAATTTTCCATTTTAAACATGTTTTAAATTTCATGTCGTGAAAAGAAGTGTACACATATTAAAACAAAAAGACAAAATGTAAGCCCGCCCACCCGCCCTATCTCTATTGTGATGATTTTTTTTATTCACTGTGAACCAAAGGGGCAGATCTTAACTGCAAAGTACTCATTTCTTTACAATAAATTAAGAACATGTTTTTGAGTATCGTGTTGTTTAAAGAATACTGTGGATATTAAGAAAACGAGGTAAAATATAAAACCCCGCCCACCCACCTGCTCTCAATTGTGATGATTTTGTTTTTATTCTTGGAAACTTAAAACACGTTTACAATGGTAAATTTTTGTAAAGAAATATGGGTTTTGCAATTACGCTCCGCCCCTAGGTCTGCCAACGAATGAAAACTTCATTACTATTCAGATCTGAGCAGATATGGGTGGGGCTTAATGTTTGGCTTAAATTTTTTCTTAATATACATAATATTCTTATACTCAAAAACACGTCTTACTTGGTAATTTCTTGTTGAGAAATAATAAAGATTTTGCAGTTAAATTTCGCTCTTTTGGCTCTCGACGAATAAAAAAAATCATCAGAATTGAGACCGGGTGGGTGGGCGGGGCATATATTTTGCCTTTTTTTCTTAATATATTTGCATAGAATTATGGGGTGGAGCTTAATCGATGTTTCCTTATACAAATTTTCCATTTTAAACATGTTTTAAATTTCATGTCGTGAAAAGAAGTCTACACATATTAAAACAAAAAGGCAAAATGTAAGCCCGCCCACCCGCCCTATCTCTATTGTGATGATTTTTTTTATTCGCCGTTAACCAAGGGGGCGGATCTCAGCTGCAAAATACTCATTTCTTTAAAAGAAATTAAAAACATGTTTTTGAGTGTTGTGTTGTTCAAAGAATACTATGCATATTAAGACAACAAGGTAAAATATAAAACCCCGCCCACCCACCCCCTCTCAATTGTGATGATTTTGTTTTTATTCTTAGAAACTTAAAACAGTTTTGAAATGGTAAATTTTTGTAAAGAAATATGGATTTTGCAATTACGCTCCGCCCCTAGGTCTGGCAACGAATGAAAACTTCATTACTATTCAGATCTGATCAGGTATGGGTGGGGCTTAATGTTTGGCTTTAATTTTTTCTTAATATACATAGTATTCTTATACTCAAAACCACGTCTTACCTGGTAATTTCTTGTTGAGAAATAATGAAGATTTTGCAGTTAAATTTCCCTCTTTTGGCTTTCGACGAATAAAAAAAATCATCAGAATTGAGACCGGGTGGGTGGGCGGGGCTTATATTTTGCCTTCTTTCTTAAAACACGTAGTCGTCTTTTCAGAACAAGAAATGTAAAACATGTGTAAAAAGAAGTTAAGTGATTAAGAGGAACTAAAGGAGAGAATCGTCGAATGCAACAATAAATATTTATACATAAAAGATTTAACGGAGCAAATCGAAGAAATGACCGCTAAACTTAACCATTTAAAGACGGAATATTCGCGCTTAGAAAACGAAAAAAACGAGTACGAGGGAACGATTACAACACTGCAGGAACAACACAAAGAGGACAGTTTACGTCGTGCCAAAGAATACAAAGAGATTAGTAATAATGTTGTTGAAATGAACATCGCGTTGAAGCAAATTCGGCGACAACACGAAGACCTGAAGAGCGAAAACGTCGTCGATTTGAGTAAGTTGTTAGCAAATGTAGGGAAATTTCAGGAGTTGTATGAAAAAACCGCGGAAGCGAGTCGAGAGGAGTTGGACGGAAAAGTTCGCGAGTTTCGCCAAAAAGAGGAAGAAAGTCGGAACCGAGTTGAAGAAGCCGAAACTCGGGTGAAGCAACATGAAGAACAACAAGAACAATTTTTGAAGAGAGTGATGGAGTTGGAGGCGCAACTTGAAGAAATTGAACATTTGAAGATTCAGCACGGTCACGAGAAAGAAGAAATTTTGAAGAAGCTCGACGCCAACGAAGCGAAGGTTCTACTTCTTGAAGACAACTTGAAAGATGTGGACGTACTGACGGGGCTGCAAATGAACGAGAAGATCCAAGAAGTAGAAGCCCGGTGGAGGGAGAAATTAGAACACGAAGAAAAAGAATCAGAAGCTGTTTGAATGGAGTGCCAAGAAATCAGCGAATACAACATCATCCAGTGCGAAATCGAGAAAAACCAAGCGATGACGAAGCTAGAAGAAACGGAAAAACGTCTCTAAGACTCAAAGAATTGCTGAGTGAAGTTTCACAGCAACGCTATGAGCAGCACGTCCTCATTAATGAAGCACAAACAAGCATCGCTCAGTCTGAAATCGTCGGAGTTGTTTCAGAAGAATTTGGATTTGAAAAAAAAAAACAGGAATGTTTAAAATACCATAATTTTTTAATGAAAAAAATCAACACATACAGTATGCAACAATGAAAAATTGTAAGTCATCTTACCAACTCAGCTTAAAAAAACTATTTCTTTTTCGAATCAATCTCGGGACCCCCAGCTTTCGCCAGTTTTAGCGCGGATTTATATAAGGCCCCGACTCGGCAGCCCTTCGACGTCTTCTCCGTCCATTAACCACTCCAAGCTGAAGCAGGACCGGATTAGTGGATAAGGCAGCCGCAGCCCCCAGAAGTGCTATCCCTGCCAGCGGTATCAATAATCCTTTGAGTGCCAGCGCCTGCCAATACAACACAACTTTAAACAAAAACAACCAAATCGATACACATACACCGTGTCCATGTCCGTGCCCTTGCGCTGGAGCCGAGTGCCCATATCCATAACCCCCTCCTTGACCAGTGTGTCCGAGTAGCCCGTAGGAACCGTGTCCAGCGGGATAACCGGGCACTGGGTAATACTGAGCCACAGTCGAGGGTCCGTAGGCGAATCCAGGGTTGCTGAACGTCGCTTCACCGTACCCTGCATTACCCACAAAACACAAATAACTGTGTATTTTTTGTGGAATCGGGTTGTTTTTGTAAGTGGAACGAAAGCCATTGATTGTCTACGCGTTGTCTAATTTTAATCCTCTTAGCACTAACCTGATGGATACGTCTGGTGCCCGTTGTGACTCCCTGAGGTCTCATAAAGTCCCCGTTTGTTGGCCTCGGCCCTGCTCTGGTCTGAGTTATAGCCGTCGGCTGCTCTTCGATCTTCGTCTCCGATCAAATTCTACTTCCAAAATAACTTAGTAAACTTTTACATAATCAATGAATGAAAATGATCACCTCCGCTTGGTGATAATTCGCGATACAGTCGATCCCTCCGAGGAGCAAAATCAACGAAATCACCGCCAACACCAAACACACGTTCTTCAGCTTCATTCTAACTGGCGCCGATCCTTCAAGAAATTTATTTATGTGTCCTGAATGTGCAAGCTGCACGTGTCTTTTACAAATCGTCCTCCTCATTACCTCACTCACCACCCATCTCAAAATTTTCCCTATTGTGTTATTATTTGGACCGCGAAGAGACACTCGGCTGCTTGCAAACAATGCATTCCGACATGAAACTGTCATTTTCGCTGTGATATCATCGGTTCCGCGCTGAAGAAGGTATTTCGTGGAATGGCAATTCTGATCCTCGAAGATTCCTGTGTCCATCACGCGGTGATTCCGAGGGAAATCTCTGAATAAATTTACATCGGTCGGGGTTTAAGCGCCATTTTCGCCTTATTCACGTTTTGTCAATGCCCTCGATGGTCTGGGGAAATAATGGCGGAGAATAATGGGATTCCCGATGGTAATTTAGCTACTTGGCATTGTTGCTAGGCGGCGTGAGAACTAAACGCTTTGTGATTCGAGAATTTCGCGTAAAAAGCAACGAATTAATAGTTGGTGGAAGATAGCTGGAGCTGTGGCTTTAACTTTATGAAATTTTTTACTGCGCTACAACGCCGCAATTCCTCGCGGATGAAGCCATTTGTGTCTGTTGTCCCCCTAGAAAGACAAAATATGTGAAAATGTGTCTGTGCGAATGTAGTTTGTTAGAATGTTATCATTTTTATCACAGATGTTCTATTTTAGCGCCTGCTTGGATATTGAGTGCGACAGTGGCGTGCGCACTTATTACAATCCACCAAGAACTTCAGTTATACTTATAAGTACGAAAAATAAATTCGGTGTTCAGTCTCTTCCAAGCTCACTACTAAAATTGCACCATTAAAGTCAAGCACACCCTGTATAACGCGTTATCCATTTTTAAACCCGCTTCCCCCTTTTGTGGCAATAACCCATACCCATCAAAGTCAGAAATAACCCCCGAATTTTCATACATCACAATTTCGCCGACAATAAACCTAATTTGACGAGACGCCCATGGTAATACCCGGAGTCCAGGCGGTGTCGTTTAGTGTTCAGTGTTTACTGCGACAGTTGAATGCTGGTAATTCCGGAGCTCCCCGGAGATATCGTCTCCGGTAATATAATATTTCAGACTCTATTTCTTATAGGTACCCTTTCCGCCGCACACCACTATTTTAAAGCTTTATTTCTTACATAACTCTGGAACACGGACTAAATTGAAATTCTTTAAAATTTACCACGTTGCAGCAAAGTTTTAATATCGCCCGGAGCGGAATTCAATTTCGTGCATTTTATGCAGCGCGTGTTTAACTGGTTGCATAACCGGACATGTCGATTTTTTAAAATCGCTCAGTACTAACGACACATTTAATTCTTTAGTATTGTAATGGTCAAAAATGTCTTTTTTATTTCCAGAAAAATGGCGAATTTCATCCAATTCCGGCGCTCGAAGAGATCGTCCACCTCCAGCGTGTACATGCAGGTGAGTCCACGTTTCGCGAATAAATTGTGCACCCTCTTGCGCAAAAAATTAACCAGTTTTTGCTCTTGGTCACTCCATATGTGAACCCGAATACTGGTCTATAAATCACTTGTAACATGTTGCGGCACGCAGAATGGATGTATTTCCGAAACAAACGTCGCATTGTCGGGATTCTTGTCCGGAATGTAATATCCGACCAACTGTCGACAATAGGTCAAAGAATCCTGGCTCCGGGTGACTTTTTCGTCGAAATTTTAACGCTTGTTTTGAGTTGCGTGTCTAGCTGGGGCGTAATGTGTGCTTCTAATTGCATTTCCGTTAATATACGGTTGGAAGTTTGATGGTGCGTCCTTGTCTGGCTCCGGGGTTGGAGAAGGACGTCGGAGGAGCAGGAACCCTAGTAATTATAGTGCAATTGGGAATGCGAGTGACCGCAGGCACTTATGGTCATGTGCGTTTAATGCGAATTCCCTGGATTTTATTATCGCATCAATGTCCGGAAAAACCATTTGGATGAGTTATGGTCTTAAATTGGGCATCGGTATTTGTTAAATAGGCGAGTTGGAATGGTGAAGTCGGGGTAGAGCAATTTTGTGTTCGTTTGTCTGAACGTGATTAGATAGTTTCCTGATTTTTGGCTATTTATGTATGTTTTAATAAATTATCATTTAATACTTGTATTACGACGTGTAGGTCCTTAATCTACGAATAACACTTTCTTGTGTAATATGGGTCCTGTGGCGCAACGGATAACGCGTCTGACTACGGATCAGAAGATTCCAGGTTCGAATCCTGGCAGGATCGCTTCTTTTTTTTTCCAATTTTTGTTAATTGTTGTCATTGTTGAATTAAAATTAATGTAAAAACTTTACCATAAATGTATTTAAATTTCGTGATTGTTATTAAAATCAATAATTTATCGAAATTTTACAACAGGAATTATTCTTTTACAATTAGTAATTACAGTGATGCATAATATTGCGCCATTATTGTTTATTTTCGTTATTGTGGTAACACTTAATTCTGAATCATATATGTCCTTTTTCTCCGAAATAACGCGCCTTGCTATCAACCTTCGATAGCTCAGTTGGTAGAGCGGTGGACTGTAGAGGTATTAATCAACGGACATCCATAGGTCGCTGGTTCAAATCCGGCTCGAAGGAAACCTTTTTTGCATTTTTTGTGACTTTTCTCCATGCTTTGACATTGGGTGATAACTGATAATTTAAATTGGTATTCATTATTTCATTCAATTTTTTAGCTATAATTAAATCGGAGTATTTCACTTGAAAACACTTGATTTTTAACCATCAACCCATACCAGTTCCCTGATCAATTAAATAACGATTTTCAGCTAAGCTCCACCCCTTTGACTCACGACGAATAAAAAAAAAATAATTAGAATTGCGACAGGCTGGGTGGGCGGGGTTTATATTTTGCCTGTTTTTTCTTAATATACACAGCCATCTTTTCACAACAAGAAACTTAAGACATGTTTAAAATAGTACATTTTTGCAAATAAATATTGATTTTGCAATTATGGGGCGGAGCCTAATTGCAGAATCGATATTTCCTAATAAAAATGTTCAATTGTAAGTTACATATTGTGAAAAGAAGTCTACACATATTAAAACAAAAAGACAAAATGTAAGCCCGCCCACCCACCCTGTCTCTATTGTGATGATTTTTTTTATTCGCCATGAACCAACGGGGCGGAGTTTAACTGCAAAATTCTTGTTTCTTTACAAAAAATGAAAAATATGTTCTTAAGTATCGTGTTGTTCAAACAATACTATGTATATTAAGAAAAAAGTCAAAGTATAAACCCCGCCCACCCACCCCATCTCAATTGTGATGATTTTTTTAATTAGGGAAACTTAAAACACGTTTAAAATGAGAATTTTTTCTAGGGATTTTGGATTTTGTAATTAGGCTCCGCCCTTAGTTCTGCCAACGAATGAAAACTTCATTACTATTTAGATCGGGGCAGGTATGGGTGGGGCTTAATCTTTGGCTTAATTTTACTTAATATACACAGTATTCTTTGAACGACATGATACTCAAGCACATGATTTAATTTCTCGTATACGAATAAAGATTTTGCAGTTAAGCTCCGCCCCATTGGCTCACGACGAATAAAAAAAATCATCACAATTGAGACCGGGTGGGTGGGTGGGGCTTATATATTGCCTGTTTTTTCTAAATATACATAGCCATATTTTCACAACAAGAAACTTAAAACATGTTAAAATAGTACATTTTGCAATTATGGGGCGGAGACTAATTGCAAAATCGATATTTCCTTACACAGATTTTCCATTTTAAACATGTTTTAAGTTTCATGTTGTGAAAATAAGTCTACACATATTAAAACAAAAAGGCATAATATAAGCCCCGCCCACCCACCCTGTCTCTATTGTGATGATCTTTTTTATTCGCCGTGAACCAAGGGGGCGGAACTTAACTGCAAAATTCTTATTTCTTTACAAGAATTTAAAAATATGTTTTTGAGTATCGTGTTGGTCAAGGAATACAATGTATATTAAGAAAAGAAGACAAAATATATGCCCCACCCACCCACCCCATCTCAATTGTGACGATTTTTTTAATTCTTACAAACTCAAAACACGTTTAAAATGAGAAAGTTGTGTAGGGATTTTGGATTTTGTAATTAGGCTCCGCCCTTAGTTCTGCCAACGAATGAAAACTTCATTACTATTTGCATCAGGGCAGGTATGGGTGGGGCTTAATCTTTGGCTTTAATTTTACTTAATATACACAGTATTCTTTGAACGACACGATACTCAAGCACATGATTTAATTTCTCGTTTACAAATAAAGATTTTGCAGTTAAGCTCCGCCCTATTGGCTCACGACGAATAAAAAAAATCATCACAATTGAGACCGGGTGGGTGGGTGGGGCTTATATATTGTTTTTTTTTTTTCTAAATATACATGACCATATTTTCACAACAAGAAACTTTAAACATGTTTAAAATAGTACATTTTGCAATTATGGGGCGGAGACTAATTGCAAAATCGATATTTCCTTATACAAATTTTCCATTTTAAACATATTTTAAGTTTCATGTTGTGAAAATAAGTCTACACATATTAAAACAAAAAGGCAAAATATAAGCCCCGCCCACCCACCCTGTCTCTATTGTGATGATTTTTTTTTATTCGCCGTGAACCAAGGGGGCGGAACATAACTGCAAAATTCTTATTTCTTTACAAGAAATTAAAAATATGTTTTTGAAAATCGTGTTGGTCAAGGAATACAATGTATATTAAGAAAAAAAGACGAAATATAACCCCCACCCACCCACCCCATCTCAACTGTGATGATTTTTTTAATTCTTAGACATTTAAAACACGTTTAAAATTAGAAAGTTTTGTAGGGATTTTGGATTTTGCAATTAGGCTCCGCCCCTAGGTCTGTCAACCAATGAAAACTTCATTAATATTTAGATCGGGGTATTATAGGTGGGGCATCATCTTTGGCTTCAATTTTTTCTTAATATACACAGTTTTCTTTGAATGACACGATACTCAAGAACATGATTTAATTTCTCGTATACAAATAAAGATTTTGCAGTTAAGCTCCGCCCCTTTGGCTCAAGACGAATAAAAAAATCATCACAATCGAGACCGGGCGGGTGGGTGGGACTTATATTTTGCCCGTTTTTTCTAAATTTACATAGCCATATTTTCACAACAAGAAATTTAAAACATGTTTAAAATAGTACATTTTGCAATTATGGGGCGGAGACTAATTGCAAAATCGATATTTCCTTATACTCCATTGTGATGATTTTTTTTATTAGCGGTGAACCAAGGAGGCGGAGCTTAACTGCAAAATTCTTGTTTCTTTACAAGAAATTAAAAATATGTTTTTGAGTATCGTATTGTTTAAAGAATACTACGTAGATTAAGAAAAAAAGACAAAATATATGCCCCACCCACCCGCCCTATCTCAATTGTGATGATTTGTTTATTC